CCAGGTCCCTGGATGCCAGCCTCCGTCTGGGTTTTCAGTGGCTTCCCCCTGCTCTTGTATGGGGTGGGACGGATTTTAGCTGTTTTTCACCAGGGCCCTTGGGACATGATGCCCAGAGCGCCAGCTTCCTGGCCCAGCCTGTGAAGTCAGCCTAGTCCCTTCTGCTGGCAGCCAGTCAGGGAGTGAAATCTGGCCAGAATAGGGCCCCAAACACGCACTCAGCTCTTATCAGGAGGCTTGAGTGAACCTGAGAGGGATGGTGGTACCCGGTTCTTCATTACCTCCCAAAGAAGGCCTCCCTGCTTCTGAGCTTGGGAACTGTTCTTTCATAGGGGTGGGGGTAGGGTGGGTGATGAAAACCAGTAGCAGGCTACCCCTTCCTTCCTCTACCCTTCCACCTAGAGACGCCACCGAAAACCTTAGCACCCACACCCGCAGCCCCTTGCATGCCTGTGTCATCCTCTCTCCTCTTCTGTGTCCACAAGACAAATCCTGGGGGACACTGTGACTCATCCAACCCACACAGGATCTGGCACGCAGTAGGTGTTCAGCACACGGTAGGTGTTCAGCACACAGTAGGTGCTCAGCAAACCACTACACACATTTGGGGGGGTGCCATACTTCAGATAGGGAATGGCTCACACCACTCCAGTATTCTTGCCTGGAGAATCCCATGCACAGAGGAGCCTGGCGGGCTACAGTCCATGGGGTTGCAAAGAGTCAGAAACGACTGAGTGACTAACATGTTCACTTTCATACTTCAGAGAGTCTTGCAGGGAGAGAGTATGGTCATGGAATTTTATAGCTGAGGACATCAAGTCGTGGAGTTTTATAGCTGAGGTCAGTGTTGAGTTCACAGAGCCATGGAGAACACCAGAAGTTCCAAAATCTTGTCACTTTTAAAAATTATTTTCTTTCTTTAAAATTTTGACTGTGCTGTGTAGCTTGTGGGATCTTAGTCCCCCAACCGGGGATTGAACCGGGGCCCTCAGCAGTGAGTGTGGAATCTTAACCATTGGATCACCTGGGAATTCCCATCACTATTTTATTTTTGAACTTAAATCTCAGATGCATGCTTGCTTCTGGCAGGTCAGAGCAGGGTTGTCCCAAGCTTAAAAAGGGGGTGTGGATTGTACCTCTCTCTGGAGAGGGACCCCCACCCCTGCCTCTTGACCCTTTATGAAAAGCATTCAGAATACAAGCCCACTCTTACACAGAGCTTCCTCAGTAGACACAGTCCCACTCATTTTCACACTTTGAATCCTTTAGTCCTCACTATGGCCTGTGAGGCAGGTGCTCCTGTCGCCCCACTTCGGGGACCAGGAAGCTGCAACCCCCAATGGGGAGGTGCTTGCCAGGTCACGTGATGTATTAGCCCCTATCGCTGCTCTAACAAATGGCTACACATGTAGTGGCCTAAAACAACTCGGACCCAATACCTTACAGTTCCAGGGACTTCCCTGGTGGTGCAGTGATTAAGAATGCGCCTACCAATGCAGGAGACGTGGATTCTACCCTTGGTCAGGGAACTGAGATCCCACATGCCATCAGGCAACCAAGCCCACGCACCACAGCTAGAGAAGGCTGCGCGCCTCAACGAAGAGCACGTGTGCCGTGAGAAAGACCCAGCACGGCCAAAAATAAATAAGTAAAATAAAAATAAATGTAAAGAATACCTTACAGTTCCAAAGGTCAGCCGTCTAAAATGGGTCTCACAGGCTATTAATAAAAGCAAGGATTTGGGCAAGGCATCCTTTCTGGGGCCTTCCCAGCTGGCTCTAGTGGTAAAGAACCCGCTTTCCAAAGCAGGAGACATAAGAGATGCAGATTCGATCCCTGGGTTGGGAAGATCCCATGGAGGAGGGCATGGCAACCCACTCTAGCATCCTTGCTTGGAGAATCCCCGTGGACAGAGGAGTCTGGCAGGCTACAGTCTATAGGGTCGCATAGAGTCGGACACAACTGAAGCGCCTGAGCACACACCCATGCATCCTTTCCAAATGCTCTAGGGGAGAATCCTTGCCTTTCCCACCTTCTAGGGGCTGCCCACATTCCTTGGCTGGTGGTCCCATCGTCCGTCCTTAAGACAGCAGGGTAATATCTTCAATCTTTCTGACTCTGACCCCCTCCCTCCCTCTTTCCCTTATAAGGACCATTGTGATGATGGGGAGGTGGGGTGGGCACTGGATACTCCATGACAGTCTTCCCATCTCAAGATCCTTAATCACACCTACAAAGTCCCTTTTGCCCTGTAAGGTTGCACATTCCTGGGAACTGGGCATTAGAACCTCACATTTTGGGAGACATTATTCTGCCTGCCACGCCCAGCAAAGGAGAGGTGGGGCTACCCTGAGGACAGCTGCTGGGGGCCTGTGGGGAACCCCTTGTTTGTCCAAGTCTTGGGTATTTTCTTCCTGTGGTTCTTCACTGGCCTGTGTTCTGGAGACACTGTGATCAGCTGAGGAGGTGACTTCGGTATTCATAGGCAGATAGCAGATTAAAAAATGGGCATGGGGCTGGCTCAGGGGCTCACAAGTGCATGGGGGAGCAGTGTGCTGCTTTGCTCATGTGAGGTCATGCCTTTGGAGAGCACGGGGTCTGAAAGGTGCCAGGCACTGGGGATAGAGTGGTCCTCTGGTCCTGAATCTTAAGGAGCTCATGGTCTGGGGGTGACAGACACACAAAGGAGTCGCAGCAATGGAGACCAGCAGATGGGAGCTCCAGGGACCCCACAGAGGATGGTCGGGAAGACAGGAAGCTGGTTTCTGAGTTGCCGCCTTAGACCAAGTGAGAGAGAAAGAAAAGGACGTTCCTAGTACCGAGAACAGCATAAGCCAAGGCGCAGAGGCAGCCTGGGGCGTGGCCAAGGCTCGCGGAATGTGGGCCTGGATGGGAGGCTCTGTGATCCTGTGCACGAGAGCAAGCTTGCTCTGAGCCGGGGTGACAGGTCAGGTCTTGGGGCTACAGCGCCAGTCTTGTGGGTGTGAGAGGCAGTGGGGGAACGCGGGCGAGGGCACAGGCTCTGCAGCTAACCCACCAGCTCTGCCCCTTCCTAGCTGTGTGGCCTCAGGCAAGTTACTTGTCGACTCTGGGCTTCAGTTTTATCATCTATGTAACGGGGGTGCTGGTAACAGCTCTGTCCCATGAGTGAATGAATGGATATGTGGGGGTGCTCAGAGCAGTGCCTGGTGCAGTTCACGCTCGAAGAGTGTCCACTACTGTGATCCCTCATCCAGGTGAGGTCAAAGAGGACCTTGTGAAGGATTTGAATGAGGGACCCACAGCCATGCACCAAGAAGGGCTGGGAACTCTTGCCTTGATGAGTGTGGTTTTCAGTCCATCGCAGAGCTCTGTCCTGCCATGTCACCCCCGGGGGGCAGCTCGCGAAGCTTGGGCTCAGGGGCTACTTAAGAGGGTTCTCAGTTCTGGCTGAGAACTGAGCCAGAGAACTGAGGGTTCTCTGTTCTGGTTCTCAGCCTGGCTCTTGGGGCTCAGGTGGGCTGGGCGCTGTAGAAAGAGACCGTGACCATGTCCCCTTATAGTGACGCCTAAGAACTGGGTGGTTAGGGGGGCAGGCCGGTGGGTGAGTGGGCATCAGAGTGCTTAGATTCCACAGAGGGATGCTGGGGTGGGCTTCCTGATGGACCCCGCAGAAGCAGACTTCCAGAAAAGTCAGGACTGGAAGGGTGTGGGGAGCTCCTCTTGTGTCCAGTGGGGAGCTGAGGCCGTAGTGCCGAAGGGCTGCTCACGTGACCCTGTGTCCCTGGCTATCCCCACAGNCGGACACGACTGAACAACAATCCTACCCCCCCAGGTGCTTTTCTCCAGCCATCTGCCCTCCTGAGAGGGCTTCTGGGGCTCAGGCTTCCAGAAGGTGGAGTCTAGGGTCCGTGGGTTTGGCCCCCGTATCCTTGGGATGCTCAGATGGATTTGTTCACATCACTCTAGCCTGGCCAGGGGTGTGGGACCCACTGCCTCCTGCTCCTCCAGCTCTGCAAATGATAGCAGGAGACAAACGGGTCCACTTTAAAGAATTTTCTGCCCGAAAAGTCCTCCTTTTTAGTTTTTATTATCAGAGGCCCCAGCCAGGGTGGTTGCAGGCTGCCTGGGCTCTTGGGAGTCTGCTTCCCTCTCCCCATGGATTACCTGTGGGATCCGGTGGGGAAGGAGACAGGTGAAGCCCCCGCTCCCCACAACTTCACCTTCCAGTGTGATGATCTGGGAGCAGAGCTGGGGGATGCTGAGCAGTTGGCCACTCATAAGGGGGTCACCCCTGGAGGAGGGCATGGCAAACCACTCCAGTACTCTTGCCTGGAGAATCCCCATGGACAGAGGACCCTGGCGGGCTACAGTCTATGGGGTCGCAAAGAGTCAGACATGACCCGGTGACTAAGCCCAGGGTAGCGCAAGGGGCTCACTCATCTAGAGGAGCCAGTGCTACTCTGGGGGAACTTATTTTGATAAAATTTCAAACGTAAAGAAAGTTGCAGGAAGAGTATAGGGGACCCCGGTTGAACTGATTCCTTGCTGTTTCCATATTGCCCCATTGGCTTGAATATCCACACGCTCTCACTCATTCTACATAAACAAAACATTTTTTCTGACCTGTTTGAGAGGAGGATGACGACATCCTGACCTCGAACCTCTAAATAACTCCAGCCGGTGTCCTTCCTGAGAACAGGGACATCCTCTCACATAATGACGGTCTGCTTGCCAAAATTGGATCAGCTAAAGCCAAAAACACGACCACTGCCTAGTCCAATTCCGCCCATTGTCCCCAAATGTCCTTTTATGGCCTATTTTTAATCCCAGACCAGGGGCACGTGTGAAATATAGTTGTTCAGTTTCTTGAGTCTCCTCCGAGTCGGCAGGGTCCCTTCTTTGTCCTTTTGACCTTGACATTTTGCAAGCAGCCTCCAGGCTGCTCCATGTTCACCTTGCCCTCTGATCGTGACCTGACTGCCCGGCCCTGAGCTCACCCCTATCCTCCCTTCCACCAGCTGCAATTCTGAGGTCAAGTATGCATCGGAGAAGCACTTCCGGGACAAGGTCTTCTATGTGCCGGTGCCGACGGTCACGGCCTACAGTGAGACGATTGTGGCCACGCCCAACTGCACTTGGCGGAACTACCGCAGCCAGCTGACCCTGGAGCCGCGACCCCGCGCCCTGCGCTTCCGCAGCACCACCATCATCTTCCCCAAGTGTGCCAGCAACTCCTTCCGCACCACCCTGCACCTCAGCCTGGGTCGGCCCCGCTGCTGGTTCACGGCCAGCGTGCAGCTGCAGCTGTGCCCGCGCCCCGGGCCCGGCCTCTTGGGGCCCGCGCCCCTCTGACCCGCAGCCCGGCCCGGTGGCGGCGGCGTCGCGGCGAACCAGGGCCATACCTGGGGCGGCTGGAGGATGGACTCTGCTATTGGGAGGGACCCTGGGGTGTGTCTTACCCCGGCCGCTGGGGCTCACCCAATAAACACATCTATTTTATCAACACCTATGTGGGGAGGCAGCTTGGGCCTGGCTCTCGGAGGAGCAGGGGGTGGGGGAAGGTGGATAGGCTGCGGTGGAGAGAAGAAGGCACGTGTCCTTGGCTGCCCCTGAGGTGGGGACACCCCGAGCATCAGCAGAATGGAGGCATCCCAGCCTTGGCCGCATGGGAGGGAAGAAGGGGGCCATTCAGACACCCAGCTGCCCTGGAGGAGGCTGTTTCCAAAACGAGCCTTTCAAATGCATGCAGCTTAACGCCCAGAGCCGTAGCCCGGCAACCTCCAGCGGATGGTGGGCCAGGAGACTGGGTGAAAGCTGGACGCCGATGCCAGGGCCAGAGTGGGCTGTGTCTGGGGAGCCGCCAGGAGGAGCCCTGCCCACACTGTCCTGGTTGCCCATGCCCCAGGGCAGAGGATGGAGGGCCCAGCCTGTCTGCACCGCAGCCTTTCAGCGCGTGTCCAGAGCCTCACCCACAGGGCAGCCTGCTAACCTCTGTCCGCCGACGCCTTCAGGACTAGGACTCGGGAACATCAGAGCCCTGGAGCCAGGTGCCAAGGGGAGGCGTCTGAGCTCTTGGAAATGACCACCACCACCTGCCAGCCGTCAGCTTAAAGGGATTCTGTGGGGCCCGGCTGCTCTCGCTCAGGCCTACCCCTCCTACTGTGATGACTCAGCAGTGGCCGGCGCTGTAGGGCTCACGGCACACATGCAAGGTCAGGGAGGAAGACGTGAGACCCCCGTGCTCCCCGGGAAGAGCCAGGACACGTGGGGGCCGGGGCCACGACCTGGGGCTGCTCGGCACCAGTGACCCAAAAGCCCCCCAACGTGGCCACAGAGATGCCCTCAGACTGGACCCTTAGGTGGGGGCTACCTCGACATTCCCCTGGCTTCCCCCCTAAGATGGGGCTTTAGTTCCCTTGCTGGGGAGAAGGGCAGCTTGGAGCTCACATTCAGGAGAGGCAAGGTGATTGACGTATTTTTATATAACTACACAGACTGTGCGTGGTCTCTCCACAAAGATGCTTTCTGATTAACAAAGAAATAACTTAAGAAACAACTGATTATCTTAATAAAATGTGCAAACTCAAAGAGGTTCCCTCTTCCGTGCTTCCAAGACCTTCAGAGGCCCCAGGAGGGGGTGGTATTCACAGGCCCATGGTCCCTCCCGGCTGCTCACAGGGGTCAGAAGACACTCGGAAGGGTCAGAGCCTATGCCAGCACCCCCTTCCCCACAGACAGCTTCAGAGTGCACCCGCTCTACCTAGGAGCTAGGAAATTAATGCAGAGGGCCAGGCCCCATGCTGGGACTTGGTCTGGGGGTGATTCCAAAGAAAGCCCCGGCAATCTGAATATTTGATGCGCCCATGCTTCGATGCCACCCTGTATGCCAGCCCTCAACACTCACAGACCCCCAGAGCCCACTGTATCCCTGGAGAAGGGCCCATGCTGCCTCTGCAAAGCAGGTCTTGACCATGTTACATCTTCTCCCCATCTTGCCCGTGTCCTTGGAGGGGCCTCTAGGACCCCAGACTGTAAAAGAGGAGGGCATTCAGCAGCCTTAGGATAGTGTCCTCTTTTGAGTAGCGGAGTGCTTGTGTCTTTGCAATGGGCTTCCCTAGTGGCTCAGGGGTAAAGAATTCACCTGCAATGCAGGAGACCTGGGTTCGATCCCTGGGTCGGGAAGATCCCATGGAAAAGGAAATGGCAACCCACTCCAGTATTCCTGCCTGGAGAATCCCATGGACAGAGGAGCCTGGCGGGCTACAGTCCATGGGGTTGCAAAGAGTCGGACACGATGGAAGTGACTGACATGCACGCTTGGTGTCTTTGCAGGGGCTCCGGCCTTGATGGAGGATGGTCTCTGACAAGGAGTGGGGGCGGTGAGGCAGGAAGGCAGGGCCAAGGGGCAAGTTCATGTCACCCAGAGAAAGAACCTTGAGGCCTCGGCTGCTTGGGGAGAACAAACGGGGCGCAAACACAGTGCTGGGGCTTTGTGCGGACACGCACGCGTGCTGGGGTCGCATCACTCGCACCAAGCAAATTCAACTGAGTTTACTTTCCAGTCACAACTCTGATCTCCCCATTTGGAAGGAAAAATGGGTTGGGCTTCCTGATGCGTGCAATTATGGTGCCAACGAACCTGGTGACCTTGGAGATGTCCCAGGGGTTGCCGCTCAAGAAACAACTTCCAGGGTGTGTAGTTAGCTGATGGCTTCCAGTCAGAGTGCAGGGATGGGACCCCTCCGATGGGTGTCTTGGCTCCTGGTTGGCCGAGGCTGGACCCCTGCCGGCTCCTGCTTCCTGCCTTTGTCTTTCACAGGTGTCACCCCTGATAGGCCTCATCCCCCCCCAACCATCTCAGTACTTCCCAAGGACCTGGGCAGCACTTGTGCTTCTGAGAATCAAGCAAGACCATCTCCTTGGACCATGCACACAGCCTCCATGTTCCCTGATGACCTTGGAACTCCAGCCTGCTTTTCCTTGTGTGCCAGGGGTTCCAAGAGGCCCATCCTGTGGGGAGGAGTGCAAGAGTTACAGCCACAGACCCTCAAGCACACCCCTATTTTCCTCTAGAGAAGCCGTGTGTCCTACCAGAACCCAAAGGACTTGGAGGCCAGCAGAAAGTGGTGCCCGTTTCATCTGGAAACTGTCCCGACCCTTGGGATTACTACCCCCAAAATAGAGCCTGGAGGCTGGTGACCCCACTACTGAGGCTCAGGGTGCCGCCTGCAGAAGGTGCTTCGGTCTTCTGTCCCCCCCTCAGCGCTCCCCAGATCCAGATGCACTGGACAAACCCTTGTGTGGGGGCAGAGGCCGCTCACTAAGCCCCATGGGAGCGGAAGACTGACATGGGAAGGGCACGGTGGCTGGAAAGTCTCTTGCTTTACTTCTCTGAGCATCTGCAAAATGGGCACATCATTTCACCTACCGGGCGGCTGGGACAGTGAGAGTCCATGCTGTAAAGCTTTGGCTGCAATTGAATCAAGCTGGGACCATCCTGGGGGCGGGTCAGGGCGTCCATCTCTCACACAGCTGCAGAAACACTTCCCAGGTTGGAGGACCAGCTCTGACCCCACACACCCATCTTGACCCCCTTCGCTCGGCTTCTTCTGCAGTCACCCCAGCCAGTCTCTGGGTTCATCACACTCACAGGCCTCAAATTCAACTCGGCAGCCCCTGCCCACCTACAAACAGGAGACCTGTCGGCAGTCTCATCCCCGCCCGCCCTTCGTGATGCTGCCAACAGCGGCCCTGGCAGCCGGCATGTACATGGACCACCTTCTCTGTCTGCAGACTGCCTGACCCCGCTGTCAGCACTTTTTTGCATTTAATCTTTCCAAGGAGCCTGTGAAGTAGCTGGTGAGACATTCTAAGGAGGAAGTGGAACCTGGCCAAACTCCAGAGGGGTGAGATGGACAGACAGCCTGTCGTGTGACTGCCACAGCTGACCCTTCCCCGGCTTCCCGGAGAAGGCATGAAGACAGATACATCTCCTTCGACGGCCCTCCTTGTCCTTCTAAGGGCTCCCTCCCACCAGCCGCCAGCAATCAAGTCAATCCCACCCACTCCTGGTAATATGCAAATGAGTCACTGTCCATGGACCACCTGGATTTTTCCCTCCCCTCTCTCTCCTTTCCTCACAAACCCATTCATGTCTTTTTTCCTGGCCTCACCCTACTGACTCTTGCTCAGATGGGTAAACTGTGTCTCTACAGAACTACACAGCCCATCTCTGAGTTACTCCTCCCAGCAATATCATTATCCCATTTTACAGATGGGGAAACCAAGGCACAGAGGGTTCAAATGGCTTGGCCATGGTCACACAGCCATTAAGCGGCAGCTGGCCCCAAGGTCTGTCCTTACTCGCAGGCTATACTACCTCCCTTTTGCCTGCCTTGTAAGTGGCCTGGCCCCTTGATGGGGGCCCTTCCTGAGGCAGTGGGTCTCTATAAGGAACTGAAGGGATCAGGTTCTAGCTCCAACCTTGGGTACCACCCCGCCATCAGGAGGGCTGCAATGCATCTGCATCAGGCATATCTGAGCTGCTGGATGAATACAGATTCCCAGGCCCCACAGTGAACCCAGAGAGTCATATATATCCACCAGGCGGGGCCCAGGAATCTGGATTCTAACCAACGCCACACGGAGACACAGGGACACTAGCCAACAACCGTCCCCCACTTTACAAACCACGTTCTCATTTCCCGCTGAATCTGATCCTCAAAGGTCAGTTCAGCTCAACAGTCAGCAGGGGGCTTGGTCAACAACAGTCAGGAAGGGAAATGCAAGAGCCTTGCTCTCCAGGGGTTCTGTCCAGTAGCTTGCGGTATGTTAGCAGAGACCCAGAGGAGAGAGAAGACGGGGAGAGATGATGGGTTTTAGAGGAGGGAATGACCTAGCTGGGTTTTGAAGTGTGTGTAAGTTTTCCAGGGAAATAGGGGTCAGGGAACAGCATGAAAGTGTTAGTTGCTCAGTCGTGTCCAACTCTTTGTGACCCCATGGACTGGAGCCTGCCAGGCTCCTCTGTCCATGGGATTCTTCAGGCAAGAATACTGGAGTGGGTTCCCATACCCTCCTCCAAGGGATCTTCCCAACCCAGGGATCAAACCCGGGTCTTCTGCACTGTAGGCAGACTCTACCAGGGAATTAAGGCGCACAGCATTGGGCTCCATTTTAAGATGGACCAGTAAGAAAACTGAACCAGAAGGGAGTCAGGTGAACCCTCTAGGGGCTGAGGCCTGGCTGGGTGAGCCTGGAGGAGAGGGCGAACCCTCTGTAGGCCCCAGGAGGACCTCAGTTCTCCCTGTGCCCTGCCAATATTCCGGTGTGGGGTCTGGGTACCGGCCCTCAGAGAGGACAGAGGCGCCGGGTTGTGTCAGTTCTGAGGTCCTGAAGACAGAGGGCTGGCAGAGATGACCCTGTGGGCTGATACTTGTGTTACCACCCCCCACCCCCCACCTCTGTATCACCCTGGTCTGACTACAGCTGAGGGAGGAGGCATGGGCTCCTGGGTGACACCAGCATGCCTGGGTAACCCCTGGTGGCTGGTGTGGGCAGCACAACCTGACCCACCCTGGATTCCAGGTGGGGGCTGGCCTGCACCCCAGGCAGAGGGAGGCCCGCCGAGGACAAGACCCTTTGGTGGCCCAACACTGCCACCTGCCTGTCAGCACCAGTACTGCAGCCCAGGTGCCAGGCTGCGCCTTATGGGGCTCAAGCCCTCTGCCCACTCCCTTCACGGCAAAGGCTCGCAGGGTAAACCTGGAGCGCCACTGAGGCTGGGCAGAGTCCCCCGAGGACGCAGAGCTCCCCCCGCCCCACGCCCTAGTCTACACCCTGGGGAGATGGGGGTGCTGGGCTGACCACCAGGTTAAAGGTTGGGCTGCGGATGGCAATTTCTCCCTACAGTGGCCCTGGTTCTCTCCTCCTCTGCCCCCCACCCTGAACCCCAATCCCGCATGCATGTCTGCTGCAAAGAACTTCAGCCTCTCTGAAGCACTGGCTCCGCTCCTGAAGGGACATGGCAGGCGTGAGAGCACACAGCCCTCGAGACCCGTTTTCCAAAACCACAAGTCACCAATCGGCAGATGTCTCAAGACTCGAGCTGCCTCATATGCAAAGCCGAGGATCTGTCTGTTTTCTAACAAGGCGTAGGTGGGATAATTTTTATTTTTTAAAGTATTTATTTATTTGGCTGTGCTGCGTCTTAGTTGGGGCACATGGGATCTTCACTGCCGCGCACAGGCATAGCTGCCCCGCGGCATGTGGGATCTAAGTTCCCCGACCAGGGATCGAACCCATGGCCCCCTGTGCTACAAGGCGGATTCTTAACCACTGGACCACCAGCCAAGTCCCAGAATAATAACTTTTTAAGGTATTTAACAGTTCAGAGGTGATGATGGCCATCTTGGACACCGTCAGCATGGGTGTGAATTTCCAATACCCTCCTCGTGGGTGAAAATTCAATATTCCCACCATGGGTGTGATGGTTCAATGTCCGCACATTGACATCCCTACCGTTGGTATAAATACTCACCTGCAGAGGAGCCAACTTGCTGGAAAAGACCCTGATGCTGGGAAAGACTGAAAGCAGGAGAAGGGGACGACAGAGGATGAGAAGGTTGGATGGCATCCCTGACGCAATGGACTTAAGTTTGCTCCAGGAGATGGTGAAGGACAGGGAAGCCTGGCTTGCTGCAGCCCATGGGGTTGCAAAGAGTCAGACATGACTGAGCAATTAAGCAACATTCACCTGCAGATGGGACGAGCCTGGTGAGTCTGGGGATGTGCCCTCATTCCCCGCAGGGCTACACTCCCACCGTCCCGTTCTGTGTTGCCCACCCTCCGGGCTGCGGGTCCGAGATAGATAGAGAAGGAGCCTCTGTAACTCGAGTATAATTTGCTTTTTAATGAGAAGAACATGTGTAAATGACAGGACGCCACCGCCGTGCGCAGATGGCGGTCACAGAATACCCATCAAATTCATTCTGCCCAAGGAAGGGAGGAAGGGAGGACGCAGGGGGGGAGCTCGGGGACCAGCAGCCCCCACCCCCCTTGGTCCTGCGGACGATGGGGTCACCGACTGTCAGCCTGCGCACGCCTCTTGAACGGTAAGCAGGGATCGAAAGCACAGCAGCAATAATACTGGGTAAGTCCTTCCTTGCTTAAAACATCTGAATTAATTCATTGAAGGTATCAAAAATATACCCTGTAAACCAATATATCATTTACACCTGCCTTTCCTTCCCGCCGCTGCGGCAATGCTGCGTGAACGAAACAGTCCAGTTCCTTGGAGCAGCCGCTCGCCCCAGGCCGCACCTGGCCCTGCCGCCCGCCCGTCTGGCCTGACTCGGTTTCCCACGGTCTCATCGCCTGGGGCTGGAGCAGCCCCTGGGGCCCAGGGACAAGAGTGCTGGGGCCTGGACAGGGCCCGTGTCCGTCTGTCCAGAGTGCTAAGCGGGAGGGGGGTGGGGGGCGTACGGGGCTGGGGGTGCGGGGGCTGCGAGCTCAGTTTAGACTTTGGTTCCAAATGCGTTAAGGGGGGAGGCAGTGGCGTGGGAGGTGGGTGGTCGTCCTGCTTTGGGTCCCTGGCCGCCCCGGCTGTACGCGTGTGGCCGCCACACACGCCTGCCGCGCCCCCTGCCCGGCCCGGCCCCTCCCGAGCACCAGGTAAACATCCCCTGAGTAAGGTCACTGCGCGGGCCAGCCGGGGCGGGAGTCGTAGTTAAGGCTTTAGACAGGCAAGGATGCCGGCTCTGGACGGACGGACGGACGGATGGGCGCACAGGCAGACTCAGGGGCTCCTTCCTTGGTGCGAGGAGTCGGCGGCCGCCCGCTCCTCGACCCGCTGCTCCGGCTGCTCGCCGCCCCCTCCCCGCTCTGACCGTCACTCGCTGTCGGACAGCGTCTCGTACTGCGAGCAGAGCAGCGGCTTGGGCTCCTCGTCCCAGGCGTGGTGGGGGCCGGCCAGGGGCCCACTGCCCGCGGGGAGGCCGGGCGGGGGCGGGGAGGCCATGACCCCCGCCTGTAGCCGCATGATCAGGGGGTTGTAGGGGAATGGGGTGGACCCTGCCGGAGAGACCGGGAGAGACGACACGGTGAGCCAGGCAGTCCCCGCGGGCCCCACCCACCTGCCACCTGGGGCCTTGCTTTCCCGCCTCCGCTGCCCTTCTATCTCCTGAAGGTTCTCAAATTGCCCACCCGGGCTCCTCGCCACCATTCCCACCCCATCCATGCCCGGCAGTCTGTCTTCCAGCCCTGCAGGAGCCTCCTCGCTGCTCCTGCCCTTGTCCCTGGGGCCTGTTCTGCAGCCAAGGGATCTCCCGAACCTCCCCCAGGGACTTCTTGGAGCTCACAGAGAAATCGGGGGTGGGGGGCTCCCTTGCAACCCCCCTGCAAACCCATGGGACTGGTCCCTGCCCACGAGCCTCTCTCTTCACTTCCGGAATCCTTCATCCTCTCTAACTGCGCCCTTGCCCTCCAGCTGGGCCCTTACAGGGAGTGTCCTGACCGTGTGCAAGCCTGAGTTTAGCTGGGCAGGGCCCTGGGTGGTTTTCTCAGAACAGGCCTGACCACACGCTCTGCACACAGTAGGTGCTTGAGCAGCCGGCCTGGCCCCCTTGCCCGGCCCCGGCGCCCACCTGCGGATGAGGGCCGGTCCTCCCACACGCGGTTGGTGAGCGGAGTCCGGCGGTTGCAGTCTCCCTCCGAGTGCACCGAGGAGACGGAGGGTGGCCGGTCCCCAGACGCCAGGCCCGGGGCTGGGGACTTGGCTTTTCGGCTGCTGGGTCTGCCGGAGACTTTGGCCTTTCCGCCGCCACCTGCAGGGGGACACACGGAAGGGGCCACGTTGGACTGTGAGGACAGCTCTTGTGCTGTGGGGATTTGGGGATGGGTGAGGCCCTGACCCCCTGCTTCCTAGGCCCCTCAGGGAGGGAGAACAGTGGCTCAGGCCCCTAGGAAGCCAAAGAGGTCAACCAGATGTCCAGACCCAGCCATGCGCCTGGACATGCAGGGGTTTCTACTAGGGCAGTGGGCAGAATTATGTGCAAAGCCCCCTCAGGCTGCCCCGAGGCCCATCTACCCACTATGGGCTAATACTCCAAGCACAAAGCCTCAGGCCTCTGGCTTGACCCTGACCACAGCTCCAGGACTATGCTGGGGCCTGGTGGGCTGCAGACCCTCTGCAAAGAAGCTGGGAGCCCTGAGGCCAGGCCTGGGTTCGCGTTATGTCCAGAAACTCCCTGGGGCCACAGTGTCCAGGTTAGAAAAATGGCTCAAGCGCTCTCCTTGCCCAGCCCTTGCTCTGATATGTGGAGTGTTGATTAGGGACCCAGGCCCGAGGGCGAGCTGGCCCGTGTGGTTTCCCTAACTCATCTGAGTTTGGGTCTGGCACACAGACTCTGATCTCCTCCCCATCAGGCCCGAGGGCCAGCCGTGGACACGCATGGTGGCTGCCGCAGGCACAGAGCCTGCCAGCCTGGCTGCCCATGAGCCCAGGGGTCCCCTCGATCCACACAGAGAAGGTAAGGACCTCACTCCAGCCCGACTGCCCCCATGGAGACACAAGAGGGGCCAGGACGCGGGCCTCTGGGGACCCATGTCCGGCAGGGTTCGAGGAAGGCGGGGCAGGGCTCGGGCAGCGGCGTGAGTGGTTTTAGAAAAGCGGCAGCTCCTTCGTGCCCAGTGGGCAAGGGCGGACCCGGGGCAACTCGGACACCTGGGGATGCCCGCCCGGCTTGGGGTTAGCCAACTCCAGGACCACGTCAAACACGCACAAAAAAATCAAGTCACAAGCTCCAAAGCTGGGGGTGGGGGGGCGGGAGGCGGGGTGGCGTTGGTCAGAGGAACGTGGAGGAGGAGGAGGAGGAGGAGGAGATTAATGACACCAGGGGGGGGACAGACGGGGCGGGCGGGGCTGGAGGGCCGAGGCGGGAGGAGGCCTGCAGACCTGGCGAGGTGAGTGCGTGTTCGCTCCGTCCGTCAGCAGCGGTTATGGGCATAGCAGCAGCGGGCAGGCTGGCACTGGCATTCAGAGGGTTAAAAGCATTGGCGCTGAGCGGGTGCTCTTCCCACTGATCATATTTACCCATGAGCGCCTTTCTAATAATAGCCTCCAGCCCCATGTTGGTGCTGGCATGTTCCTGCACCGCCTGGCTTCTGCAGGTCATGAGGCCTGGGAGAGAGACACACACAGGGGGGCCGGGGGGGGCCGGGGGAGGGGGAGAGAAGCACAGAGAGGGAGAGGGAGGAGAAGAGAGAATACACAGTGAGCACATTTCGGCAAAGCCACGATTCTCCGTTTCCCTGTCTGCCCCGCCCGCCCTGGTGTTCCCTGCAGGGCGATGGGGCGGGAGGCCTGCCTCTGACTCTCAGGGATTCCCGGTGCCGTGCGTGTGAGGGGGGAGAGGTGGGCTTTGGGGCAGTTACAAGCTCATCACCCCCCACCAAGCCTCACTTCTACTCTGCCCTCTGGGGAAGCGGAAGCCCCTACTGGCTCCCTAACCCCAGCTGGGGCTGCGTCATTAATTAAAATCCAAGTGGCCTTAAAAACAGGGAGTGGGGTGGAGGGCGGGATCAGAGGTCCCCTTATTGAGGGGAAAGGGCTGCGGGGAAACTAAGTCCAGCCTGAGCGCAGTGCTAGGCGTGGGGGAGTCCTTCCTTGGTTTCTAGGGTATGCTGGGGAGAGGGACGGGGGGAAGGTGACCAGACAGTCCTCCGGCCGCCCCCACCTAGGAGCCCCCTGCACCCCCGCAGCTGGGCCTAACTCTCCTCCCACGCCTTCTCCCCACCCAGGGAGCCATGAGGAGAAAGAGGTGCAGAGACGGACGGTGAGGGAGGGTCGCAGCCATGCAGTTACGGTGCGTGCGGGGGTCAGGGCAGAGCTGGAGACAGTGGCCTGGACGCACCCGCCCGGACACCCCAGCCCACAGTGGTCCGATCGACAGCTGTCCCCCACAGATCCTTCCAGACACCCACTGCGAAGTCAAGCCAGTTACTCTTTTTCTGTTTACCAGGTTTCCTGACCCTCTCGTGTTTCCCTGTGAACCATCCCAGGGACTTTTTGCAAACCCCGGGGAATGTACCTCTTTGGGGCATTTTTTGTTGTTGTTGTTAAACCAGACTCTGCTTTCAAAAACTGCCGATGAAGCTCTCTGCCTGCCACCAGGCAGAATTTTTCATGAATTTTAAAACTTCTGCTCAGAGCCAACTGTATGATTAGCAAGTCTGGCTGACCCCTGACTCATCTGTAAACTGGACTGCTGACTTCGTGACACGGCTGCTTCTAAAATCACATTTCCAAAGCAACTATCTGCTGTCTACATTTTCTTTTTCTTTTCTTCCTTTTACTTTCAAACTCATTCACAGCCACAAGACCCCTTGACTTTTTTTTTTTAAGCTGGGTCTTGGCCATGTTTCATCATCACTTCAAATAAAAAAAGTCATGTCCACCAAGAAAAAGGAAATTTTCCAACAGGGGTGATGGATGGGTACAAAAGCAGAGAAAGCATTTATGATCCTACAAACTAAAACACTGGGAAGTGGAAAAAATGTGAGGGATACTGGTCATGATGGTTACTCAGTAGGTTAGCATCCTACGATCACAGATGAGCCTGACACCAAGGTCATGGATACATGGTCTGACTGGTGCTTAGTCAGGAAGCTGACCACTGCCAGTCCTGAAGCAGGAGCAGAGACTGGGGTCTGGGGGAAATTCCTTTGTTTGGATTAAACTGCTTTGAAAAAAAAGTTGAATCTAATTTATATATAAGTTTTCACATAAATCTTGGTTTTTGCACATGAATTTCTACATACACATGCGCCTGCATGTCTCAGCGTCTTGGTCAAGGTTTGGAACATTCTGAAAACATCCATTTCTGACCATCTTGTTGTTTCGACCAAATTGCCTCCTCCCTGTTGCCTAAGGCTCAGCATTTAGAGGTCCCGTGGCCCCCTGATAAAATCCAATAGTTGTCTTTTGCTCACCCCGTTCCTGGAGCTGTGATGGCCCCCAGAGAAGGTCACTGTGACCCCACCGTGTCCCTCCCGAAGATGCTCCCACTCTGGCAGAGGGTCAGCCCCAGTCGTTTCATACCAGACACAAGGCCCTTCCCCAAGGCCCCACCCAGTCCTACAGAGGCAGCAGAAATGCACAGTGTGGCCCCTACTGGAGGCTGGGGGATCCAACCCCAAGGGCCTCCAACACACCATAGAAGGCTTAAGTTTCAGCTTGAAAACACATGTGGGTTTTGCACTCCTCTCAGAATATATCTGCAGTGTTCCCCTAGCCTCCTGGCTGGTATTTTCAAGTAAAACTGATGCTCTATCTATATAAAATGCCCACCTGGACCCCGAGGGCAGCCTGTATGCACACAGGCTCACTCTCCATCCACAGACTGAAGTCTCCATCTGAGACCCCAACAGAAAGCCGGATAAGTTTCTGGACAGTTGTATGTGATTCTAACACTGTCCTAGATGCACCAGGAGGCCTTGAAATTGAACTCCAAATAGAAACTCGTTGCAGGCCTCCCCCCTCCCCTGCCTCCGGCCTTTTATGTGCATCTGTATCCCCACCGCAAGGTTTGTTTAGACCAGAGGAGGGGACGCACTTGAATGGAGAAAGGCCCCTTGTCACCACAGTTACAGCTGATGTGGAGCCCAGAAACCTCCATGACCTCATCCCTGAGTCTCCTCCTGGGTCCAGACAGCCAGTGTGACCTCCCCAGGGTGCATAGTGACGGGGGTGGGGTGGGAGGACAGGCACAGGGCTGGCGGTCCCCAGGATGGACGGTTACCTGCTCCGGTGATGGCTGGCATGTTGAAGATCTCTGTCCCCGGCTGGCCGATATCTGGAGGGAGACAATAAGGAGGGTGAGGGCGACGGGCCCACGGATCCTGGAAATCATCTGCCCCGTCCCCCTCAACCCACACCCCAACCACCTGCCCCGCTCCCCTGTCTGGTCTAGGCAGGGTGCGCCAGCCGGGAGCTTGTGCAACGCGGCAGGGCTAGTCTCGGCCCATGGGATTCTCCTGGCAACAATACTAGAGTGGGTTGCCATGCCCTCCTCCAAGGGATCTTCCCGACCCAGGGATCGAACTTGTGTCTGTTGACATCTACCTGCATTGGCAGGTGGATTCTTTACCACTAGCACCATCTGGGGCAGCACTTGAGAGTCTGTATTTCTCTCTGTATTATGTACGGCAGCCTGTCATACATAACACCGCGCTTGGCTATGTCTCGTCTTGGAAGCTTGACTACCCTGTGTGTGTCTGCTAAGTTGCTCAGTCATGTCTGACTCTCTGCGACCTCATGGCCTGTAGCTCTTCAGGCCCCTCTGTCCCTGGGAGTCTCCTACAAATGGACCCTGAGGGCTTGTGTGGAGGTTCTAGCACAGGTGGGGGGAGCACAGAGCTACTGATACACCCTTGACCAAAGAGGGGGAAGGCCATCCTCTTCAACTGAGCACACAGCTCTGGGAGGCACACACATGGAGCAGTGAGGGAGGAAGGGGACACCCGCCAGCCAGCCAGGTCAGCCGAATCAATGCTGGTGATCAGCGGGGTGACAAAGGTCACAGCCAGATGGCCTTGACATCCGAGATTTTGCATTCTGAGTCAGGTCTCGGGGACTGCTCACCTGCTGGCCGGTGCATGGCACCTGACAAGGTTCTGGATTTAACAGCCTGGGCCAGGGACTGTCTGAAGGGTTTTAACACCAGCCCCAGAAAGAGAAAAGGCTCTGCAAGGCCCTCGAGCTCCCCTCAACTAAAGAGCTCTTTGAGGCTGAAGATGTGAGGACCCTTCATTCATTGGTTTTCCGGCTCATAGGTTCTCTTAAGCATCTGTGACGGGCCAGGCGCTATGCTAATAGAAGTGGGGAGCTGAGCTAGGACTGACATCCAGGAACCACATAAATAGAGGAAAATCACAAAATGTGAGGAACACTGTGAATGGGAGACACATGGAGCCCTGTATGAGCATGACCCCAATCTCTGGAGCCCAGCGTGAACTGGCCCATTGATGCAAATATTCCCCAAGAGCCCCCTGTATGCTGGGAATCATTCTGGGCACAGCATTCTGTGCCACCAGATACCTACAGTAAAGAGAGAGACCACCCCAGGCTCCTTGAACATGAAGTGATGGGCCAGTGGGAGAGGTGGTCGGCAGGTTCAACCAGCCAAGCTGGCCCCCAGCCCCGCCACCCTGTCATCCCGCTCCCGGGGAGGGGTGGGCCCCTTACTGTATTCTGGCTCATTCCGGTTGTGGGTGTTCAGCTTCTTATTGATCTCCTGTTTCTTAGATTTGACCATGGCCGAGTTGCTCTCAGTCAGCTTGCTGAAGAACGCCGGTGGCTGGCTGGTGTTGCCTGGAGATTTGGAGCCCATCCTGCTGTGAGGATCAGACACCCCAGGTGAGTTCACTTGGGGCTGAGTTTGCACACCCTTGATGACAGGGTGCTCACCACCTGAGCTGCCTTAGAAATTCAGAATGATGCTTCTCCCACCCCCAAACCTGCTTCCTTGGCCTCTTAGGGACCATGTCTCCTGAAATCCCCTATCCATGGGCTCAGGGTATCTCTGGAGAGCCTCAGCTGCCCTGATAGGCCATGTCTGTCTGCCTGCCACAGCCAGATGCCCAGAAAAGGGCTTGGGGAACCAAAATGGGCTCAGATCACACCTTCCCCTGAGATCAGGGGGCTTTTTTCTCTGCCTCCATCCCAGCCCTGGGCCCCAGCCTGGTCCAGCACATTTAACTCTTTAAATCTCAGGCCCTCAAATGTCGGCAACAGGGGCCCAGCCTGAGCTGAGAGACCCCAGCCCAAGACTCTGTAAGTTGCCATGGAGGTCTCCCAAGTTTCGACCCTGTTTAGTAGGTCTGAGGTCCTCAGTTGCACCCCAAAGCCCTTGTCAAGCCCCCAACTGCACAGCAGTGGACCGAGGCCACAGGTGGGCAAGGGCCGTATTCTTGAGCACCCGGGGAAGGGGAGGGGCCAAGAAGATACCTGGGCTCCATCTGCTCCCCGTCCCGGTACAGCAGTGGGTACATGGTGCCCCGCGGATGCCCGGGCTCCACCATGCCCTCCGGCGGGGACACAGGTTCAATACCATCCTCACCGCTGCCCAGGGCTGACATCTTGCTTGGCTCTGGAGACCTGGGTGGAGAGAGGGTCCCAGCAGTGGTTAGAGCTCTGAGCTCTCTCTCTCGAAGCGGGTGCGCCCCTCCCTCCACTCCCCTGCAAGCCCTGCCTCACTCTAAACCAGCGCTTAGCACCCTTTATTTTCCTGTAAAGGGCCAGATAATAAATATTTCAGGAGTGATGGGCCAATTGTGGTCTCGGCTGTGCTCTTCTTTGTTTAAAAAGAATAACCCTTTAAAAATGTAAAACCATCTTCAGCTCATAGACTGTGCAAGAACAGGCTATGGGTGGGATTTGGCCCCCGTGGGTGACACTTTGTTGAACCTCTGCTGCACCCCCACGCCAGGGACCCCAGTATTCCTCCAAAGACATCTGGCCATCTCCTTTCCCCTGTGCGCCACCCGGAATGGTTCCCTCATCCTAGTGGAGGGCCCTCAGGGGGGCCCTCCCGTCTCCCCTCCTCTCTGACCGGGGGCCCCTAGGGGTAACGAGGAGTGCGAACTGCATGTGTGCCTGCTAGGAGGCTGCTCTCACATCACACAGCTCTGCTTCGAATCCCAGCTCCTCCACTTACTGGCTGTGTCCCTGTGAGCAAGTGGGCTCACTGCTCCATGCCTCAGTTTCTTCATCTGTGAAATGGGGTAACACTGCCTACACTTCCTGAGGCTGTGGTGAGGATCCTGGCTGATGTGTGTGAAGGGTTTAGCTCAGCGCCGGGAATCCCCACAGAGTGTGATGCACATATCAGCCAGGGGTCCAGTTGCTCTGTGACCTTGAGCCAACTCCCCGAGTTCCCTGAGCTTCACCCTTCCCGCAGCAGAAACCTAACGAAGCTCCTCGGTGGGGACTGGCAAGGGGCACCCTGTCTCCCAGCCCTGCTCACCTCTTGCCCCCTTCACTGTGGGGTGAGCCACGGGCCTGGGCGCCGTGGTCCGGGGGTGGGAGGTAGAGGTCGCTGGGTGGGCGGCGCAGGTCCAGGACGGGGCAGCTGGCTCCGGGGAAGGAGTAGAGGGGGGCGGGGAGGGGCGTGCTGAGCTGCTGCGGGTGGTGCCGCGTGTAGTCCTGCGTGATGACCTCCTGCAGGCCAGGGGTCGGGGGAGACATGAAGGGTCAGGTGCCAGCCAGCTGCCAGAACCTTCCAGATAGGGTGAGGGCTGAGCTGAGCGGTGGGGGTAGAACCCTGGGGTGGGGTCCTCGGCTCCCCAGGAGCTTTGGGCCTGCCTATAGTAGCACAATGCCCCCAGGTGCCTGGGCTGAGGCCAGAGGTCCCCAACTGGGCCCCGAGACGGGTCCGATTCAACTGGCCAGCACGTGTGAGGCATGGATCGTGGATGGGCTTGTGCACCTGATGCCCCATCAGTGGAGGAGGAGGGGGGACAGCTACAACACCTGATTTGGAGACGACTCTGGGACCCCCGGCATGACGTGCCCTTGCCACCCCCCAGATCCTTGGTTCACCCCCCACCCCCACCCAGGACTCAGTTTACCCATCAGAGGATGCGTGGACCCCCCTCCCCTCCCTTTCTCGGGACCTAGTCCTGCCCCAGATGCAAAGGCAATGACGAGGCGGGGTAGTTACACTGATGTGCTGTGCCAGGGTGACCACCCGCTGGTGACCTTTGACCCCCGGGGTGGTCTGGAGCAGCGGGCTGGACGAGGGCTGGCTCTCGGGCAGCGGCCGCAGGTGTGGGAGGTGTGCCGCCTCACCGCTGAGCTTCCCTGGGCCTGCGGGCAGAGCAGGGCTGGTCAGAGTGGGCAAGGCCGGTGCCCCCTCCCCGGGGGCTGCTGTCCTCAGATCCCGGCTCCGCCCTTTGAACTGAGACTCCACCACCTCCGAGGGCCTTGGCCTCCCCGTCTGTGCGGGGCAAGACCCCACCTGGCTGCTTGTGCCGCGGGTCTCCCTCCAGGTGGCTCTTGTCGAGCTCCTCCAGGTGCTTGGGGAGCCCCTTGTCATGGGTCAGGCTGGGCGAGCTCACGGGGCTCACGGGCTCCACCCCGTCGGGGCTGTAGCTGCCGCCATGGTAACCTGCAGCCAGGCGAGGCCCTGAGTCAGGCCAAAGCCAGGGCCAGGGCTGCCCTTCCCAGCCCGCCCCTCCACACTGGACGGGTTCCCCAGGGCCAGAGGTGGGGAAGATTTGGGCGGATGGAGAGTGGGAGTGAGCCGGCATGAGGGCTGCTGGCCAGCCAGGGGTGGGGACATGTCCGGAAAGGATGGCGAGACAGTACTGCAGAGAGAGGTGGATGGAGAAGAAAGGCAGAGAACGAGACACACAGGCAGACAGGTGGAGGGAGATGGAGAGAGACCCAGGGAGAGTGAGAGACGGACAGCAACAAGGTGGGGAAAGGGGGACTGGAGACAGACCCAGCCAGCGGGGGCCAGAGGTGGGGATGAGATGGGGCAGGATGAGTTTCGGGGAAGGGAGTGTAGAGGCAGCGGATGGGTGGTGAGGGTGTGAGGTCAGTGTGGTGGCGAGTGACACTCAGATCGCAGGGTCACCCCCAGCCACAGCCCCCTCTCCAGCACAGATGAGCCCTGAGCTGGGGCTGGAGGTGGGAGACAGGCACAGAAGACTCTCCTCTTCCCCGGGGAAGCTGGCTGGTGGGTCGGCAAAGGAGACACAGGGCCAGAGCATCCCCAAGAAACCCTCACAACCTGGGCAGAGGACGCAGGGGCCAGGTTCCCACTCCTCCTGGGAAGCGGGGGGGTGCTCCTCTTTCCTCCCGGACGTCCCCCCGCACTGTACACCTCGGGGGCAGTGGAGCGGGGTGGGGGAGGCATCCTCCAAACCACACACAGCAGCAGGCAAAGGCGTGGGCCTGCGCCCCTCCGCAGCCCCGCTCCCCAGACAAGGGTGCAAAGGGGGAGATGAGAGGCGCGGCTGGAGTCAAAATCACAGATCCATTCATTAAAGGAAAAAAAGCGAAAATCCAAAAGAAAAAAGAAAAATCATGATAAAAACGATGTGCAAATGATGAAGTGCTCCCCTCTCCGATCAGAGGGGTGGGTAGGCGCAGCTTGAGGAATCATCAGAGCGTGCAATCGACGAAGACAAGTTTCAAAACAAAATACCAAAACCAACGAAAAATGGGGGGGAGGGGAAAAATAAAAAGCAGAGATCTGAAAATATCTTTAGGCCACAAGACGGGGTGGGTGGGCGGCGGGGCCGGAAGTCTTACCATCGCGAGGGGAGTCGTTGGCCAGCGAACCTCCTTCTCGCGGCCCTTTATCGTGAGCAATTTGACGCATGATTATCGCGTCTATGAAGGTGGCCGCTGTCAGGGTGGTCTTACCCAGAGAACGGAGTTCCAATTCCTGGATGGAAAAGGGTTTACTTTGAGTCTTTTCCCGGTGCAGGTCCGCGGCTGAGGCGGGGGGCGCCGGCTGGTCCGGGCTGGTGTGGTGGGATGCGAGGCTCTTCGCTGGGGCGCGGGCGATGGCCGCGTGGCCGGAGCCGGGGGGTGCCAGGGGCCGGGGCTCGGAGCCCTTGCCGGGGGAGGAAGCGGGCTCCAGCCCGGCGCGGGCTGGAGGCTTGGTGAGGAACGTGTGGCCAGCGTCCGCGCGGGGCCGCTCGGGCCGGGCGACCCGAGGGGCCTCCTTAGGCAGCAAGACAGGCTCCATGAGGGTGGGGTAGACCCCATCGAGGGTGCCGCCCAGCGGGCAGTGGGTGGCGGGTGGGAATGTGGCAGCTGGGCGGACAGGCGAGGAGGTGGAGGTGGACCTGGAGGAGGAGAGAGGGAGAGTCAGCAGCTGCAGGAGCCACAGCTGGGGCCCTTGAGGCCGAGGCAGGGTCACTCCCTCACTTTGACACCCTGAGGGGTTGCCATTGCCCGGAATAGCTCCCACATTCCCCAGAATAAACCCTCCCAACTGTGGCCTGCGAGACCCCATGCCACAGGGCCTCACCTACCCCATCCCTCCATCCATCTACCCATCCATCCATCCCTCCATCCACCCACCCATCCATCCATCTACCCATCCATCCACCCATCCATCCATCTATCCACCCATCCATCCATCCATCCATCCCTCCATCCATCTACCCATCCATCCCTCCATCCATCTACCCATCCATCCATCCACCCACCCACCCATCCATCCATCCACCCACCCATCCATCCATCCATCCACCCATCCATCCATCCATCCATCCATCCCTCCATCCATCCATCCATCCACCCATCCATCCACCCATCATCCCATCAACCCAAAACCTCTTACTGAGCACCTACTATGTCAGGCACTGTTCTAGACACCAGGGATATGACTGTGCACAAAACAGTCAAAAGTGCCTTATGTTCTAGGTGAGGAGACACATTACATACAGGCTCATATAATAATATGATAAGTTAAAGTCCTATTATTGTGGCAATTGCTTGAAGGTAACGATTCTGGGTGGAAAACAAGCAAACAGCAAGGGAGCTCTCAGGCATGAGTAGTGGGGTGTCTCTCAGAGGGGCTGGCATATGACCCAGAGAGGAAGTGAGCGAGCCCTGTGAAGGATCAGAACGCCAAGGGCAGAGGCCCTCAGAGTGGGTCAGGGTGGGTGGTTAGAGGAAAGGGCAGGGGTGCCCAGTACTTCCACCTCAGCCACCAGGGGCCACACAGGGCTCCTTGCTGTCTTCTCTGCCCAGAGTGCTCTCCTCACTCCAATGGGGCTGGAGCCGGCTACTCGAGACTCCCATGCCTCTTCCTTCAGGCAGCCTTCCCTGATTGCTGCCGTGGTCTAGACCATAAGCCCTAAAAGGGCAGGGCTTGCATCACCATGTCCCCCATACCCAGCACAGGGCAGGAGACCCACTGCAAGCCCACCAGGAGGAAGAAATGCACAAATGCACTCACTCTGACCTTCAAGGGCTAGTGTAATTATCCCCATGCTGCAGATGAGGAAATAGGCTTGGGCATGAGCTGGCCCGACTCTATCTCTCGTTGGCCTCTCTCTCTAGTCCAAGGCTTCCATGAGGAAGTCTTTCACTAACCCTCACCCTCAAGGGTCTTCCTCAGCCGCCACTGGGGAAGGTCTTGATGTTCCTGCTCCAGCTTCTCACTGGCTGTTGCCGGTGGGAGCTCATGTCTGAGCACCCTGCTCTTAGAGTCAGGTGCTCCTGTTCTGTGTAACTGCTGAGACCTGACTCGGAGGACACCAAGACGATGCTTCTGGTAAATGAAGTTGTCATTTTTTTGTAATTGGAATTGTGGTGGGGAGGGCGTGATTTAGAGCAGCCAAGTGTGGGGAGACTTGCACAAAGGGACACTTCATTTTGGAAGAAGCAGCTGCCTCCACACAGGTCCCTGGGCAGGGAGGGGCCCTGGGGAAACTCCTGCCCCCCCATCAGGCACCTCAGCCCACAGGCCTTGGGCAGCAGTAGGAGGTGGGTCACCAGCGGGGACTCGGGCCTGTTGTGATAGGAAGTGGACTCCAGGGACCAGACACATCCGGGACCTCTGCAGGTTCTCCAGTCTCCAGGGAACCTCTGGACTTTGTCCAGACAAGAGGCACCTGATCTCCTCCTCCCTGTGGGGCTCTGCTGAATCCCTGGAGGAGTGGGAAAGCCTCTCCTCAAAGCCCTCACCCTGTCTCTCCCTCTCTGCTCCACAGACTCCATTCCCAAACTCGACAACCTACTCAGCTACTTACCTATCCACCCACCCAACTCACCATCCACCTATTCATCCATCTACCTACCCAACCCCCATCCACCTAGAAAACTCATCACCTCTCCACCTCCCCATCTACCCACCCACCCACCTACTACCTAACCAAACCCTAATCCATTCCTCCACTTACCCAACCCATCATCTATCTATTCACCCATCTACCCTCCATCCACCTACCTACTCACCCATCTAACCATCCAATTACTCACCCTCCCATCTGTTCATCCACCTATTCACCTAGCTCTAACCATCAGTCCATTCATCCACCCACTGTCATCTACCTATATACCCACCCACCTATCCATTCATCTAGTCTGCCATCCATCCATCTACCACTGACCCACCTATGCACCTACCTACTCACCTGTCATCCATCCACATAAACGGATAATATCCACTTATCCAAATCTATTACTACCCATCCATCTAACCAAATCACCCATCAATGTACCTCCTCACCCACCTCTCTGCCCGCCCATGGCTCACCCTCCCGTTTATCCCCGGATCTACCGATACCCTTGCACATCGCTCCTCCTGTACCCATCCCCCAGCCCCCCTCCATGGCCCTGTCCCCCCCCCCGTGCCACCCCGGCCCACCTCAGGACTGTGGGCGTGCTGGGCTCCACGGAGGTGATGATGCTCTTCATGCCCGTGTTGTGCAGCACGCTGGGTCTCTGCTGGATGGCGTCCTGGGTCCGCGGTGAGATGGGCGAGTGCTGGTGGGCGTGGGAGTGGGAGGCGGGGCGGCTGCTGCCGCCGCCCCCACCCCCGCCGCTGCCGCCGCTGCTCTGCTCCGTGCCTGGGGGAGACAAGCTATGCTATCAGAGACCTGGTGCGGCTGCGAGGACCCCGCCCCCACCCCCGGGGCGCGGGCTGGGGGCGCGGCCGGCCTACCCGGTCTCCAGATGGGCGCGTGCTCTACCGTGGTGGTGGATGTGAGGATGGACTTCTCCCGCTCGCGTTCGCGCTCCCGATCGCGCTCCCGTTCCCGCTCCCGCTCGGTCGAGGACGTGGCGGTGGGTTTTGTCAAGTGAGTCGGGCCTCCTGGAAACCCAAAGGCCTGCGGCTCAGCCCCAGGGACAGGAAGCCCCACCACCACCCCGACTCATCTTCGGGATGGAACAGAGAGGGCAAGGCATCTGCCCAAGGACACCCAGCACCGGGGTGGGGGCCTCACCCGGGGAGAGCGGAGAGCTGCTGAGCCGGCTGCTGAAGGGCTGGGGTGCGGTGGGGAGGTAGGCGAGGCGGTCCATGGCGGTGGCTGGCGTGCCTGGCGTGGGAGGCACCAGCACGGGCAAGTGTGGCACTTGAGACAGGTCGATGATGCCTGTGAGAGAGGAGGTGGGGCTGGGGGCTGCAGCCACTGGGGAGGAGAGGAGCCGGGCTGCCTGCTCGCTGGACCGCCCCACCCAGTGGAGCACCGCGCAGCCTGAGAAGCAGCACTGCTGGGTGCTCCTCCTCGGTCCACGCCCTAGGTCTGAATGCCAGCTGCTCAGAGCCCCTCCTCCCTTTGCTCCCAAGCCCTGAAGCAGACGTAGCTTGCAGGTGGCCCCACTGCACACTGCTGTGCCCCTTTTGCCTGTGACCCAAGGCCATCAGTTGCTTGTATTCAACCCCCACTGTTTGAAATACCTAGTGTGACCAGTTTTAACAATTGGACCCTAACTAGGACTTGGTTGTTCCGAAAGAACATTCCGGAAGTGTTTCTAGAAAGTGTAATAGTCATGTGCAAAGTAGCCACGGGCTGGTTGCTCATCAAGGGAACAAGAAGTTCAAACAGCCTTACATTTCCATGTGTTTTTTTTAAGGGCCGCATACACCAACAGGACACACAGGCACATGCACAGCCTGTGTGTCACCCAGGATGCAACCACACACAACTCTAAACCACGGGCGGTGTGGTGGTTAAGACATGGGCTTTCATTGCCGTGGACCTGGGTTTGATCCCTGGTCGGGGAACTAAGATCCCACAAGCTGTGAGGTGTGGCCAAAATATATTAATGTTAAAATAAACCACGCACTGGGTCTGTGTGTGCTCTCAGCACAGTGACACCCCCCGGGCCTCTAAGGTGACCACTCGTGGCAAGGACAGGTGTAGAGGTGTGGGCACACACGTGTCCTGTGCTTTCAGGAACCTGGGCAGACCAGGGATAAGGCTGATTCTGGGCAGAGGGTCCTGCCCACCTGTGTGCCTGGCAGTGCCCCGCCCCACCCACCTCGCGGGCCGGTGGCGTAGTTGAGGGCCAGCGAGGACTCTCGGGGCGACAGGCCCCTCAGCATGTCGGCTCGCTGGGCCATGGCGGTGGCTGCGTTGTGGTGCATCTGCTGCGAGGTGATGTAGTCGTTGATGATTGTCTGGCGGTTCTCCAGCGCCGCCGTGTCGGGGTAGCCGCGGATGAGGTAAGGCGGGTACAGGTGTGGGTAGGTGGGGTTGGGGGCCAGGTGCCGGGGCAGGTAATAGGCAGCGGCTGCCAGGAGAAGGGGAATAAGTTCAGGCCGGCTCACACCTCGGCTGGGAATGCCCTTCTGCCTGTCTTAATGCCTCCACAGCTTCTCCCTAATACCCCCACAAAACAGAATTGAGAGCCCTGAAGCAGAAAAACCCTTGCTCCCCAACATACAAGAGAGTGCCTCTTATTGATAATATTCTTGGGATCAAAATTCACCCAAACACAAGGTATTCGAAATGTGGATCACAAAAATACCTAAGGGCTGTGTCCTTTTACACAGATTTTCAGATCATGTCTGTTTGGGGAACACATACCCTTGAGCCCTCTTTTGATACATTTGCAATTTTCAAGGTGCTGATAAGTCTCACAGGAAAAGAAAACCATTTTTCTTTTTCAAAAGAAAACCATTTGAACAAATGTTTAACCCAGCATGACCCTAAGACCCTCCAAGAGAAATTCTCACCTCAACTGCTGACATGACTGCAATATTGGGTCCCTCCCTCTCTCTGCCCTGCATGCCTCAGTTTCCCCTTCTAGTGGAGCCTAGTTGATGCCTGAGGAGCCCTTGGGCTGACACTGATGCTACAGGGCTCCCTGGGTCTGGACAATTACCTGCATCCAGAGGGATTCCTCGGGGTATGGAGGTGGGGTCGAAGGCCAGCGGGATGTGGCCACGGTACAGGTCCACGCCGCTCACCCCCCGGAGCAGGTGCTCATAGGGCGAGATGGGGTGGGGGTGGTGCTCAGGCACACTGCTGTGCGGGGACTTGGCAATCTCCCGGGGCGTGGATGTCAGCTTTCGGTCCTGGGATGCCTTGCTGGACGAGAGACTGCCTGTGGGGATGAGCCAAGTGCGGATGGCATCAGACCTCAGACACGGGTGTCCCACCCCCTACATGGGGGCTGCCGGAGCTAGTGCCTATGGGAAATCGTTTGAGGGTAGGGTCTCTGGGGTTCCACCAACCAGGGCTCTTCATCCATCCATTTGCCCCAGTTCATTTTTCCTTTTACTTACTCATTCACCCATTTGCTTCTGCTTTTTATTCTTTTTAAAAAGCTCACGCGTTTTTCTATTCCCTTTTCTGCTCATTCATTTAATCAACCAAAAATATTTATCATGTGTCTATGATAAGCCTAGTACTTTCTAAGAGCTGGGGCTCCCCGACCAAACAAAACAGGAAAGTCCTGGCACCCATGGGGCTGACATTCAATGTAGGAGGCAGATGATCAACTAGTCATCAAAAAAGAATTTCAAAGTAATAAATGCTTTGAAGAAAAATTTAAACTGTGACCGAATGTGACCAGAATAGTGAAGGGGGAGGGTGACCATAAGAAACCTCCCTGACGATGTGACATTTGAACAGAGTCCTGAAGGACAAAAAGAAACCAGTTAGGTAAAGATCTGAAGGGGGGAGGGTGCATTTCAGGCACAGGGAAACTGCATGTGCAAAGGTCCTGAGCAAAGAGAGCTGAGTGAGGTCAAGTAACAGAGATAAAGCGGTGAGATGGAAAGGCTGGTGGAGCAGGATCCTGCACAGCCAAGGCAGAAAACGGTGATTTTTTTTTTTAATCCCCTTAAGAGCAGTGAGAGTCACTAGAAAGATTTAAGCAGAACAGTGGCATAACTGATGTAAATATTTCAAAAAAGTATTCTGGCTGCCGTTTGGGGGAGCAGATTATAGCAGCACAAAGGAGTAGTCAGGGAAGCCAGGTGGACTGGAGGCGGCAGAGAGATGCGGAGAATTCTGAGGATGGTTTGGAGGCAGAACCCACAGGTTTGGAAGGTGGACTGGATGTGGTGGCCCTGAGGACGACCCCTCCTTGCGCCCTGCCCCACGCACCCTCCTGCAGGCGCGGGGTGGGCTCCCGTGTGGTCACTGGTGATCCGCGGGGTAGGTGACCGGCGAAGGGCGCCGCGTGGTCCTCGTAGGTCAGAGGGCTCTGTCGCGGCTTTCCCAGCTCAGGCACGATGACCGGAGCCCCCCGGGTGATGGAGCCCCCCGAGCTGCTGACGGCACCCGACCGGCTCTTCAGGCTCTCCTCGTAGCAGGCGCGCTCCAGCGCCCGGGTGTCGGCCATCACGTCCAGCGGGTGCACGGCCGGGAACGTCCGGCCTGGACTGCCGATGATGGAGCGCACGTCGTGCTTTTTGGAGCCAGTGGAGGACGTGCTGGTGTCATACTTGAGCGGGGTGCCCTGGAGGGGGGGGGGGAGGGCCAGGGAGAGAAGCGGGGGCGTGACTACCAGCGGCACAACCTCTCTGAGCCTCAGTTTCTGCGCTATGCAATGGGAGGGACATCTCACGCGTCAGAGGCAGGGGTGCAGGACTTTGCTAAGCCTAAGATGAGCCCACCTACCTGCCTCTGGCCCCCAGAGCCACCTTGGGGGCTGCAGAAGCGGGCACAAAGTGCAGAGGTCAGCCCTTCCTGGAGCAAGTGGGGGACCCTCGGCTGGCCCTTGGGGTTTGCTAGAAAGAAACTTAACACCCCCATGAGGGCAAATGCCTTCTTCCCATCAGTCTGGGACCCTCCTTGACCCACCCAAAGCCAAGCCAGAAAATCCAGCCATAAAATCCCTGAAGTTCAAGTCTCAGAGGTCAGGGCTGAGGTTATGTCTGCTCTTGGGCCAGAAAGGGCAGCTGAAGGAACAGGGATCATGGATGAGACTACAACCCAGCTGCCTGGGAGAAGACCCCACCCTGTCTAAGCAGGCCTGGGAAACCCAGGATACAGTGGGCATGTAAGAGAACTGTTTTTATTCAGGAATGTTTTACTTATTTTCTTAAGAAGGGGAAATGCTCTCATTTTAGAGAGAATATTCTAGAATCAGACTGGCCTCCCTTTTGGATCTATGGTGGACTCTTGCCAGTGACTCCACAGCTGCCTGGAGGCTGAGCACCAAACCTGACCCCTGGCCTTCGATGGTCTTCCTATACCGCTCCTGCCTTCTCCCTAGGCACTTCTGAGCCTTGACTCAACTGCAAAGCACCCTGGAAACCTCCCTGCCACCTCTCAGCCATGCAGGCCCCCATGGATCTCATTCTCCTTCCTTGTTCACATCTCTGACCCTGTGAAGAGACAGTGGCCCTTAGGTCCTCTAAGGGACCAGCTCCTCACAGAGTCAGAGTTCATCTTCCCCTTCCAGGCTGGGGCTTCTGGGGAGCCCAGTGCCACAGGCAGTGGTTAGTTGCAGGGGTGGAGTGGGGCTGCAACCTGGTGGAGGAGGCCAAGACGCAGAGATGTTACAGATGTAAGGACATCTGGATTTGAGATTCACAATGGCCATTTACTTGCTGTGTGATCCCAGACAAGTTGCTTAACCTCTCTGAACCTGTTTACTCACCACTAAAATGAGGGCACCTCACAACACTGTTGTGACGCTTACAGGATGCCATGTAACCATATACATCATGCCAAGTCATGATGTCAAATTCTCAGGCAGCGAGCACCTGGCTCACACTTAGGGTGCAATCAAGCTTTATTACACCTAGCTCTGGGCTCTCAGCAAGCTTCGTGACCTCTCTGGGCCTCAGTTTTTCCACCTGAAGAATGGGGGTTATAGGTATGACTTCGCGCTCAGATGCTTCAGTTGTGTCCAACTCTTTGTGATCCTATGGACTATAGCCTGCAAGGGTCCTCTGTTCATGGGATTCTCCAGGCAAGAATACTGGAGTGGGTTGCCATGCCCTTCACCAGGGGATCTTCCCAGTCCAGGGATCAAACCCATGTCTCCTGCATCTCCTGCATTGCAGGTGGATTCTTCACCCACTGAGCCACGTGGGAAGCCTGAGTCTGAATCTCCTGGGCTGTAAATACAACTGAATGAGGTCATGAGTATAATATAAAGCCCCTGCTATGGACCCTGGAACGGATGTAATGACAGCTCACTAGTGAGCAGCTGTGTGACCTTGGGTGTGGCACTCAACAAGTCCGGGCTTCAGTTTCCCCATTTGTAGGGACCAAAGCCATGCCTATCGGTATCCTCTGCCCCGACCTTGGCCCCCGTACCTGTGTGATGGAGCCCTCCTTGAGCGGCCGGGGGGCCAGGGGCAGCTCGGGCGTGCGCCGCAGCTCCTCCCGTGGAATCTCGTGGATGGAGCGGCCGGCCTCCTTCACCGTCGCCACCAGGCCCTCGTGGGCCGGCTTCAGCTTCAGGGGACCCAGGGCCTCCAAGGGCCGGGCCTTGTAGGCCTCAGCCAGGTCCCGAGGGGGCGGAGGCGGTGGTGGTGGCGTGCCCTCGCGCTTCAGGAGCTTGGCCTCCCGGCGCGGGTAGTCTTCCTGGGCCTCCACGTAGGACCGTGGGATCCCTGCCAGGGAGGAGGGGGCGCTGACCCGTGTGCACTTGCCTCCCACCTTGCTCATCCTAACCTGGGGCCTCCACACTGGCAGATTCTGAAGCCTGACTACCTGGGTTCAAGTCCTTACTTGTTGTGTGACCTTGAGCACATGACGACCTCTCTGAGCCTCAACTTCTTCATATATAGAACGGGAATATTAACTGAAGCACCTCACCAAGTCATTCACATTCAGTGGGATGCTACAGATACAAAGCATGTTGAAAAGTATCTGGCTTGTCGCTGACCAGCCAGGAGAACGTGGGTGTCTTCCTTTTGGAGGCTGTTCCATAAGATGATGAACAGAGAGCACTTGGGGTAGCACCCAGCACAGAACACAGGAGATGCTCAGTAAATGACAGAGTGAAGGGTGATGGGCAGTAGTTTGCTTTCAATTTTTGTTTTCATGCCTTACTCTGCCCTTCAACCTGCACCCGTACCTTTCATGTACACATGTGTTACACGCCTTCCCTGTGTGCTCACGGCACTCTGGCCTGCCTCCCCTCCCCTGCCCATCTTGACTGTAAACCCGAGGGCTTGTTGCAGCCACCACGAGGGTGTGGTGGCTGGGCACGCCGGGAGCAGAGGGCAGCGTACCTTGCGTGATGGAGCCTCGGATATGGTGCTGCTCTTTGAGGTGGTGGGGGCTGTGTCGCTCAGGCGGGATGGCGCGGCCCATGAGACCTGGAGGGGGCGGGCGACAGCATCGTCTCACGGCTCCCTGACCCGGCCTTGGGCAGTGACCGGCCAGAGTCTACAGCCCCTGCCTCCCTCCAGCCACCCAGTCCCCGAGATAATGGTGGGGCTGGTGGTGGCGACAGAGGACCCAGCTGGCAAGCGGCCCGTTTTCTAGGCCCTGTGCTACCTCCAGATGGAGCCTCAGAAACACCCAGCCTCAGTTTTTCTATCTGTAAAGTCAGGATAACTATTCCCACACTCTGTCCAGGGGGAGCTGATGTAACCCAGCAAGTGGGGAAGCCCCCGGGGCAGGTCCTATGGCCCCCGCTCCACCCCCAGAGTAGGGAGCTGGGCAGGGCACACACCTTCGATGCTGGCTGAGGAGATGGCCCGGCTGACGCGGCCCTCCATCATGTCGTAGGTGCGCTTAGGGGCGGCCGTCTCGTGGGGAGGGCCCGAGCTGCTCCTCCCGTCCTCCTTGGAGCACTGGGACACGGACATGCCACCTGGAAACCAGACCATGCTCACGATGCGGGGCAGCCCCTGGGAAACTGTGTGTACCGAGCCCAGTACCAGCAAACTGGCAGGGCCGGAAGGCAACAGCGGCTCAAACACACCCTCGGCACGAGGGCCCGTCGGTCCCATGGCTGAAGCCAGGCCCAGCTGAGCCTTCCCGCAGGAACCCCCAGCCGGCAGTCCAGCCCAGGGCCTGCTCTGCTGGTTGGTAGGTCTGAACCTTTGACTGTCCACGGGCATGTGAGTCTGTGCACAAACGAGCGCTCGCGGGAGTGGACATATGTGACATGAACGGGCGGAACCACATACACACGAGCAAAGATGCAGCATCCGAGTGTGAACATGCAGGGTTGGCACAACCATCTGTGTGTGTCAATGTGGGTCTGTGTGTGTGTGTGCACATGTGTGACACTGTGTGTGTGCGTGCGCGCCTGTCCACTGTGAACAAAGTGAGGCCACGTGCAAAAAACTATGTGCATCTGTGTCCACGTGGGGAGTGTGTGTGTCTGGTTGGAGGTGGGAGGGACAAGGAGGGGCCACAGCACAGGTGGCTGAGTCCAGAGGGCGGGCACATCAGGCTGGGCACACGGGTGCCCTACAGGCCAAGGGTCTGAGCAGCCTGAGGAGGGGGGCCTTGAGGAGGCCATGGTTTGGTCTTGCCCATTGGGCTGGGGGCTTCTGAGTCGGCCTCTCTTTCCAGGGGTGGCGGAGTCCACAGGTATCAGAAGCAAGTCCCGCACGCCCCAGGCCGGCCCCTTAGGATAAAGGGCGCCCTGGCTCTCACGGATTTCCATCAAGACCCCAAGGGATCCTCAGAGCAGGAGCTCCTCCATGGGCTTACAAACTAGTGGCCAGCAGATAGACGGTATTGCCCCTCCTAATTTTTCTCAAAATTGATTGCTGATGTTTAAACGCCAGGAGATGTCAGATAAAAATGGAGAGATCAGAAGTCTGGCTGGCGAGCTCGCACTTGTTACAGGATGACAATCAGCTGTCGGAGAACAGAGGCAGGGGCCCCTGTAGACAAAGCTGTCACTCTCAGGGTTGCCACAGTCTCCTCCCCGCCATCTACTGCCTGCCACTGGCATCACTAGTCCCTAGGCCCCAGGAAGCACATGAGAAATGAAAAGCCTTGATGGACACCCATTCTACGGATGCTAAACCTAAGGCCTGTAGGATCTCAAGAACTGGTCTGGAGGCCTGAGCCAAGATGCCACCCAGGCGTCCCTGCTCACAACACCTCAACTGCCTCTCCATCCGCCCTTCCCAGGGCCCCTGGCCATCCCCCAGGGCACCCAGCCGGGTACCGAGGTTGGCACAGAACACAGCTGACAGCCTGTCCCCAAGGCTATCTCCACCACTTGGCAGCAGAGAGAGGCAACTGCCTGAGCCCCACGGTACCACCTCCGCGTCCCAGGACCTGGGGGGCCGTGGGGGCTGGGGGCTGGGCCGGTGGAGGCGGACAGTGAGGAAAAAGCACCCGCCCACTATAGGAGAAGCAATTTGCGGCCCTACAGCTGCCAGCGACTGAGAGGGGCGCCCATTAGCGGCTTTTATCTCTGCACCCCTGGGTGCCTTAGGCTGCCAGGAAATTGACATCTCAGCACTTGATTCCCTTAATTCCTTCCAGGCAGGGCTCCCGGGTGGGGAAGCGGAACCCAGGGAGGGTGAGTAGAGTGAGGAGCACTGAAGTGGGGGGCCCAGGGCGTAAGGGGGTGGCGCGTCACTGGTTACCGCCCCTGCCTGCCACCCTCGTGCCATCAATCAGAGTGCAGCCTTTGCCAGGAGTGCTGGGCCAGAGGCCGAGGGGTGTGAGCTGGGGGCTTCTGCTCCCTGGGCCTGGTCCCCCACTCACAAGGCTGGCCATAAGTCTGCTTCCTAAACTGTAAAGAACTAGGCAGAGGTGGGAGGCAGCTAAGGCCAATCTTCACCTGCTCTGACTTATATACCTACAGGGACGGGGAGGTCACCACCTCTCTGATTGTGCTTCCTGGTGTCACCTCAGCCCTGCCTCGCGAGGAACTCACCTCAGTGGGCCAAAGACTCTCCCCACCCCCGTCCCAGGGCTCCTGTTCTCTGAGGGGTACAGAAGAACCATTGGACACCACTGTACCTCAGCTCCCACATCTGTAAAATGGGAAGACAGTCCCTCACCTCGGCTCTCAACCACACACAGCTGACAGGAAGGCAACACACTCCCCCAGACTTGTTTTCTGAAGACAACTGGCTGCCCTTTAAGCCCAACCATGTTTTCTGGAACCTTCTCTCTTGACCAGCTCCAGAAACACCAAAGTCTGGGGTTTGGTGAATAAGCCACAATGGATACAGACAGGTTTAATGACAAGATTAACAAGGTGACTTCCCATTTGCACCTGGGGGGGGGGGTTGTCCTGAGAGCCTTCTGAGGGGGCTTCGTCTGCTGGACCCTCAGTAAACACCAGAACAACCACCTCCAGGTCCCCATTGGTCCTCTATCTCGGGAGTCCTTGCTGGACATCAAAGGGCCCTGAATGGGATGGCCTGGCCAGCCCCTGCCCGCCCACCAGCTTCTCACAGCCATGGCGGCATCACTCACCCTCGTAGGATAGCACGTGGCCCTTCTTGCCCTCGTAGATGACGTGGCCCTTGGGCAGCCCATCCTCCCGGCTGCGGTCCAGGCGGCTCGGGCTGTCCTCACCGATGATCCTGGTGATGGTTCCCTTGTACAGGACATCAGCTGGTGTGCCCTGGGGGTGCGGAGTCGGGGTGAGCACCTGCAGGCTCTGGCCAGGGACCGCACCCCACCCCCCAACTCGCCAGACATGACCCAGGACGTGTGCACGTGTGCCTTCCAAATCCACACAGACACACATGTGTATATCACTGCATACATGTTCATACACATGCGGCTTCAAAAGGGAAGGCAGAGGGAATTCCCTGGCGATCCAGCAGTTAGGACTCCATGCTTTCACTGCCAGCACCCAGGTTCAATTCCTGGTCAAGGAACTAAGATCCCGCGAGCTGCCATGTGACCAAGGGAAAAAAGACAAAATGGGGGAGGCAGAGCCCTTCAGAACACAACCACATGGAACAAACATCAATGATACTAATAATAAGATCTGAACCCTGTGCAGGTATCGACTCATTTAACCCTGGTAACAGCCCTGAGTCAGATACTACTGTGCCTATTTCAGATGAGGAAACCAAGGCACCAAGACACCAGGTAGCTTCGCCCAGGGTCACCTGGCTAAACAGAGGCAGAGCCAGGCTTGGAACCCAGGCACTCTGGTCCCAGGTCTGTGCTTCTACCTGTACTATGTGAGTTGTACTTTCTCAGAGCCTGGATGCTGGGGTGTCAGTCCACATGCCTGTGACGGGTCACTCCCCAAACGAGAATGGGGACACATCAAGGCAGGACACCAGAGATCTGAGCTCTGACACAGGGTTTCTCAACCTCGGCACTGTGACCTGCGGCGCCAGATGCTTCTTTGTGGTGGGGGCCATCCTGGGCGCTGCAGTACACTTAGCAGCGCCCCCTACCCGGCACCCTGGGCTCTACCCACTAGACGCCATGTGATCCCCTCAACCTGCCCCTCCAGATGTGACCATCAAAGACGCGACCAGACACTGCCCAGTGTCCCCTGGGGGATAAAATTGCCCCCGTCAGGAACTACGGCCTTAGAGGGAGTGCGCTTCTATTGAGGGGTGTATTCAGGCAGACAGAAGATAGCCCCATGGGGTAGCATCCTGCCTTGGGTGACTTCCAAGAACATGAGTGTGGGGGTTGGAATATGAATCTGGGGTCAGACTGCTGGATGGCAAACAGCAGCTTTACCAACAAGTTGCCGTGTGACCTTCATCAAGTCACTTTGCCTCTCTGAAGCCTCAGTCTGTACATCTGCAAAACAGACATAATCTCTGTCTACGATTCTCAAAGGCACTTGGCACAGACAAGCTGTCCCCAGATCAAGACGTCTCTCTTCTCTTTCTATGAATCCAAGAGCCGATTCAGAGATGTGAGTCTGACCGTGTGCCAAGCCCGGGACTGGTGCCCTTCGAGTCTCCCCATGGGAGCATCTCTGCCAAGAAACATCCTTCTGTGGGGTAAGGGCAACAACTGGCACCCCCTGGACTTTTATCCCAAATCCTGGTCTTCAAGGAGGAGAAAAACAAAATGCCCTAACTCCAGACAGGTCTCCCCAGATGTCTCAAAGCAGGCACCCTAGATAGGATCCCCTGGTCACACTTTAGAAGACTTGTGCACAAACAGCGTAGAATAAATGGGCTTTGGTTTGAGTGACAGTCCAAGGGTGGGCAGTCACCTCTCTCCTCAAAAGGGCACAGGGCAGAGAAGCCAACTGCAAGCCATCAGGAAAGGCCCCTCCTCTATGTGTGTACGATTTTGTGTATGTGTGTGTTTGTGTATGTGTGAGTCTGTGTGTTTGTGTTCCCTGCACAGATTTCATCACCACCTGGTCGAGAGGCTGTGGGAAAGTCTGACCCTCACAAGTTTGGCAGCTGCCACCCTCTGCCAACAACCATCACGGGTGTGAATGACCGACAAGGCTCGGGTCACGGCCACCTGGAAAGCAGAGGCCGATGGATGCCCAGGCGCTTCAGATGTCAACCTTTAATCCCAAACCACTCTATGAGAATGACTCAGCAGGACTTCCCTGGCTGTCCGCTGGTTAAGACTCTGCACTTCAAACGCAGCGGGCGCAGGTTCAATCCCTGGTTGGGGAGTTAAGATCCCACATGCCAAAAAAAAAAGTGATTTAAGAATCCCTACTCTATATGCGTACTGATACTGAAGCTCCAATACTTTGGCCACCTGATGCAAAAAGCCGACTCATTGAAAAAGACCCTGATGCTGGGAAAGATTCAAGACAAAAGGAGAAGAGGGTGACAGAGGATGAGATGGTTAAATGGCATCACTGATTCAATGAACATGAACTTGGGCAAACTCCGGGAGATAGTGAGGGACAGGGAGGCCTGGTGTGTGTGCCTGCTGCATTCCATGTGGCTGCAAAAAGTCAGACACAACTGAACGACTCAATAGTAACAACTCAGTATGAGAATGACTCAGCGAGAGACATTTTTACCAAAGGGGTTTCAAAACTGACTCGGGGCTGTCGGTCGCCTGCCTGGGTGAGTGTGCGGCAGGGTTGCGACTTGAGTGTCTGTGGCCTGCCTTTGGCCCTGGGTACCTGGCAGCTGCCTTTGTAAGCTGGTGATTTCAAAACTGACAGGTCTTAGAGAAACATGAAGCCTGAGGGCCCCCCTCCGTGGTGTGATCTGAGGCCTCTGGGGTGCAAAGACACCTCACTGTCGGAGCCTGCGGCCTGAAGTTTCATCATTAAGACACGTGTGGGAGGGGGTGCTCTTCCCCGGGCCCGGAATGCTGTTCCCTGAGGTTCCTGCAGGGCTCACACCTCTGAGAGGTCTCCTCCAGCTCCCCTGTCTATGTAGCCTCAGCAGCATTGGATGCTCTTAATCGCAGTGTTGGACTCAAAGTCTGAAATCACCACTCAAGTTTTCACCTGACTGCCTCCCTCTGCTACCCTGCCAGCTCCTCGGGGGGGCTCGAGGTTTTTGCTCAACACCTTAAATGCCTGGCTCCCAGGAGAGAAGATGAACGCTCACAGAACAAGCGGGTACCCCCAAGAAGCCACCCCATCCACTGGGGCGGGGGGCCACGCAGGGATGCCGGGGGTGTCGGGGGGAATGGGTGGGCTGCCCACTGCTTTGTCCACAATCGGGGCCACGTCCAGAATGCTGCCTGCAAGTCCCACCCTGGACCCGCACGCTGTGGCCCCAGACACCTACGTGTGTGATGGAGCCGCGGTACGTGATGGGGCTCTCGGAGGGGACCCGCGTGCTGGGGGTGCCCTTGGTGATGCTTCCACCTGGAACCGAGCCCAGAGACGTCCCTGGAAGACAGGAGACACAGGGCTTAGAGCTGGGCCCAGAGCCACCCCGATTATGCTCCTGGTGACCTGCAAGTTCCACCCCCTTCAGTCGCGGTGTCTCAACGCAGAGTCCCCCTGCCCCTAAATGCAGAGAAGAGACACTTGGGAAGAGAGGCTGCCAGACCCTCTGGGAGCTAACACTTCTCAGCAGGTTTTGGATAAGGGGTCCCATTCCTGCCTCGACCCTCCCCAGGATGGAGGGGAAGCCGCAGGGATGAGGGCAAGACACCGGGCCTCATACCCAGCTCCCACGCCCTCACCTCTCAGGACAGACGTCTCCTGGGCTGTAGGCACCCCCAGGCTCTCGGGGGGTCCGGCCTGGCCCCGTGGGGACAGTTGCTCCTGCTTCACTCCGCTGAACGGCGCTGGGGATGGGCGAGAGTGGTGAGCAGAGACACAGGGCAGGGATTCAGAGGCATCCCCTCCCCGCCCTATCCAGGGGCTGGAGATCCTCCCTGCCATGCTCGGTCCAGAGTCCCAAAGGCCAAATTGCCCTCCCTCACCCCCTGACACAAAGGGTGGGAGACGAGCCCCGGCCGTCAAGGTTGGGGGCCCTGGATCCTTACCCAGCTTCTTTGGGTCCATGGCGAGGGGCAGCCCCATGGCGATGGGGCCCACGGGGGCCTTGGCGTGCTCTGAGTATGGGACGTGGAGCTGCACCGACATTCCCTGTGGGGGCAGAGGTCATGGGTCCCAGAGGCTTCAATCAGGGCTTCCTGACACCCGCTTTCATGAGAGTGCAAGAGGAGGGGAAACTTGGGACCACACACGGGTCGGAGAGGCCTGGGGCTCAAGTCCTGGCCCCGCTGCCCCTCTGAACGACTGAGCCTCTACTGAGCCTCAGGGCCCTCACCTGTGCGGTGGCATTCATGACCTGGTTTAAAGGAAATGGTGCCCATGAGCACCTGGGCAAAGCAGAAGCCTTGCCCCTGCCCTACAACCCACGGCAGCAGGTCAGGGAGACGAAGGGGCAGGTAGACCAAGGCTTTGCACATGCTGCTGCTGGGTGTCTAGTGAGCGTGCTCCTCTGTTTCACAGGGAGGTGCAGCGAGCTTAAGTAACTTGCCGAAGGCCGCACAGTCTGGATGCAGCACCCCTGCTCTTGAATGCCTCATGGGGTGACCTCCCAAGGTCCTGAGGCCCGGGGCAGACTGCAGCCAGCTTGGACCCAGCCGCTTGGGTGCCTGGCCCCTCCAACCAGACACCATCGGTCCCAGTGACCCCCTCCCCCAAGTGTACAGATGGAAAGGCCAAACCCCTGAAAGAGGAAGGGGCTATTCTCTGGGCACCATCTGGCACGGGTGCTTCTGGGGGGCTGGCCCTCCCACCTCACCTGGGAGATGGCCCCCATTTGCCTCTCGAGGACGCTGGGGTGCTTGGTGGAGGAGATGAGGGGCGGTGGGTTGGAGATGGTGGGTGGCCGTGGCAGGACGGGCCGGGCGCTGTCGTGGAGGCCCAGGGGCAGCGGGTGACCTGTAGGGCACACGTCTGTCCTTCAAGGGGCTCCGGAGCAGTGAGAGACACAGACCCCGGGGCCGCTCCCCACCCTGTCCCTGTCCTGTCCAGGGGAGTGCCTGTCCACACATGCCCCCCTAATGCTCCTCTCCCACCTCTGCTCTGATGAGCTGTTTGCATCCTTGGTTCAGACACCACTACTTCCACCCACCCCACCTCCATCCATCCACCCCACCTCCAGGTCCTGGACCAGGTCCCTCCACTCTCCCTAGACTCCTTAACTGGTCTCTTCATCCCTCCTTTACCCTCCAATAGTTCATTTCCCTCACAGGAACCAAAAGGATCTTTTTCAAAGTCTACTGGTTCACCTGCTCCCCCCGCCTCCCCTGCTGTGAACCTTCTATGGCTCCCCACTGCCTTCAGGGTAAGATCTTAGCCTGTGACACAGCTTTCAGGTTCACCTGACCTTGTGGGTGTGGTCTCCCCAGGCTCACTGGGCACCACGCTTCCACCATGGCAGTCTGATTCAGTGTCTCAAGCTTCGCCTGCTCTTTCCTGCCTCTGGACCTTTGCACATGCTGTTCCCACTGCCTGGCATACCCTTCCGTGTTTTTTTGGCTCTTTGGGCTCACTCATCCTGCAAGATCAGCTCCGCTGAGGATGACCTTTGCTAATTAAAGTCCTTATCCACCTTAAGCTGTGCCCCTTTGATGGCTGGTAGGGCCCAGCAGGACTGGGAACCTCGGGAAGGATCTAAATTCAGCCTGACTATATTTGTAAGCCAAAGCTGGCTCCTCCCCTCCTTACACCTTTCTCTCGACCTGCTCATTCTCCAGCTCTAAGTCACTGGTGGGAGTTGGCACTCCCACTCCAAATCTGCCTCTCTCATCATCAGCCTAAGCAGCTCCTATGGCTCCCTAGTACCAGTGCTTCCACTGTCATCCTGGAGATTCCTCAAACTTCAGCGGAGCCCCCTTTCCCTTCATTGACCAGACCATCGCTCTCGTCAGGACCCGTCAGACTCTGAGATCCTTCTGCATGCAGTTCCAAGCAGTGCCCAGTGTTTGGTGGGTGATAGGTGGTACCCAGTGATTGCCCGCTAGCTGACTCGAGGACGAAGCCAGGCTGGGGTGAACTACTCACCAGGTGGGGCATAGGAGAAGGCCAGGGGGTCAGGGGCATGCGGAGAGGCCTTGATCACCTCGCGAGGGGGCACGGGGAAGGGCAGGCCTGATGTCCAGCAGGAGGGGTCCGTGGGCAGCTTCTGGCCCTCAGTTGCAAAGGCCGGGAAGAACACGGGCTTCTCTGCTGAGGGGTGAGGCAGGGCAGGCAGTCAGCCATGCTCTGCCAACCCTCAGGCCCCCAGTCCTGGCTGATCTGCTCAAATGAGCCCCACTCCCCTTGCCTGCAGCACCAGCCTTGGCCAGAGGAGGGTCCCAGCCAACAGTGATGGGGAGGAGGGGGGGCTCCTAGCGTGATGCTCCCCCAAGTCTGCAGACCAGGCACCACTCTGACTCTGCTAATGTCCTGCCGAGCACGAGTGTGCCTTGGGAGTGGGTTGGGGGGCTCTCGGCGACCCTTGATTTCAGCCCTGGAAAGACACAGGCACTGGCCTGGCCCCAGGTAAGCAAGGGGCCGGGAAAAACCTCCCAACCAGGGGACAGAGGTGGCGGCGAGGGGCCTGCCCACCACCTGATTTTGCATGTACACTTGTGCCAGAACATGGTCACGTCTACCCGCTTATTTACCATCTACGGCAGAGCTGAGGAGTTGCGACAGAGACTGTCTGGCCGGCAAAGCCTGAAATATTTATTATCTGGCCCTTTCCGGAAGAGGCTTGCTGATCTCTTCTGATGATGAAGGTGGTCGGAACAGTTTGCCGAGACCCATGTACGTGTGCTCTAGCGGGTGCGGCTGGGAGCCCACATGCTTGGGATGACAGCACGCGCACGTCAGCCTGTATAATAGCACGTTCCACGACCAGGCACTGGGCCGGGCGTTTCGAAAGCACGAACTCAAACGAGCCTCCTGGGAAGAGAGCACCCAGGTATGGCGTTGTGGAATGGGAGCTGAGTACGGACACACTGATGGACTTATCTAGGGTTGCCAGCAAACATTTGGCCAAGTCAGGATTTGACCCCTTGACCTCATGGCCGCTGCAGCAGCAGATAACAGAACAGCTCTCCTGCGGGGGCTCCAACTAAGGACACCGTGGACTGACTTGTTTATCCTCTTAATACCCTTCAGGGAACTGATGAGAATTATCCCCATTCAGCAGATGGGAACTGGGAACAGAGCTCGGAGAGGCGAAGTCACCGGGTCAAAGGCTCAGAGCCAGCGAGCAGGAGCCCTGAGCCCAGGCAGATGGGCTGCAGGCTGTGACCTTTGCCTTCACAACACACGCTGAGCACCACAAGAGGAGCAATGATTGACCCTGGATTCTCAGGCCTGAGGACTGTCTGCAGACACGGCCAAAAGCCTGGCCATCTTCACGGTGCTCTCCTGTGGCCTCTCGCTGCTGAAATCGGCCCTAAGCGCCGAACCTCTCCCTTGAGACTTGGTGTCAGGCTGGAGCACCCATGGGAGCTGGGGGGTGGGGGTGGGGGAAGCAGGGAGTAACCAGCTGCTAACAACTTGGGAACGCTGGGCCTGGGATGGGAATGGCAGGCAGGTGTCCTCCCTGGGGCCTCCAGATGACGAAGGGAGGAGGTTCTTAAGGCCCAGCTGGGCGAGCAGAAGTGTGTTGGCAGCGACGAGAGGTGCCTGCTGTGGGCCCGGCAGGTGGGGTGGAGGCTATGCGTGCTGTACCCCCTCCGCGTCTCTCCTGGGAGAGACAGAGCTCCCCCCGGACCTATGTGCCTGCTGGTGGGGGTAGCCCGCAGGAGGGGGGTCACACATGTGGGCAGTAACCCAGGTAGGGGTTCTCACACTCAATCTCCGCTAAAGGAGCACCTCTCTAGGACCTGCACTGGGCCCAGAAAAATCCCCAAATGGCCCGGATGGTGTTCATCCAGCAACCAGACCCTCTGCGCACCAGGGCTGCTCTCTCCAGCTCAGCCCCGGCTGTGGTGGGAGGGGGCGGGAGGCCTCCGGTGCTGGATGGGAAACTTGAGCCCAGGCTAGGCTGGGCGGGTGGCTGAGAGCCTGGAGAGACAACCTGTTCCTCCAGCTGGACCCGGGGAGCCCGAGGGGTGGGCGGAGCCAGGAGAGACCAGAGCGAGGTCGCGCTGGGTGTCAAGTTCACGCATGTGCCTAAGGGTGCTGGCCGCATACCCGATGCCAGGTGCACCGTCTCTGGTGCCGCCGAGCAATTCCAGGAAATGGCGCGGCCCTCCGCCGTGCCAACGGGCCGAATGCCAGACTCAGAAACCAGGGGGGTGGTGGCTCACCTTCTCCCGGGACAGGGCCTGTGACCCGTCCCAGCAGGCTCTGCCTGGCCCTGTGCGGTATCTAGCCACCCAAGCGCAGCCTGGCCTGGCTCAGATCTGGCGCTGGCCAAGGCTGTGTGGGCCCCTGACGTTGCTATGCGGCTACCCCGCCCTGGGCTAGTGCCCCGGCCCTCGAAATGTCCTTCCAGACCATACCCCATGTCTCACACTACACTCTTGCCCAGCAAACCACACCCCCACCATGGGGAGTCTCAGGCCCAGCATGGGTGACCGGCAGGGCCCCAAGAGGTGGCTGACACCCTGCTTTCAACCCCACACTCAGGTTCATCAGCGGGTCCCACTGGCTTTGCCTCTGAAACAAAATCCCAAGCCCCGCTCCCCCCTTCCTTCCATCTCCACGGTCACCCATATAGTCCAGACTGCCACCAAGGCTGGCCAGGAACAGTACTGTGCCCCCCTCCATCTGCCCACAACTCCCTATAGCCCTTTCTTCCCAACAATGCACAGAGAAGAAGAGATCTTTCCAAAATAGAAACCAGATAGCCTGACCTCTCCTCGGTCCCCAACACACACACACACCCCCCCTGAAAATTCCTCTTGCAAAGGCTTTTTTCCCCTGCACCCAAGACCAAATGTCCACAGCACCATAGCCTACAAGGCCCTACACAATCTGGCCCCCATCCCCCATCCTCCCCTCCCCTCTCCCCAGCCACCAGGACCTCTTGGCAGCTCCGCCGACACAGCAAGCTTGTTCCTACCCCAGGGCCTTTGCACATGCTGTTCCCTGTGCCCGGAATGCCCTTCCCCCAGTTCTTCCCACCACTGCCTTCTCCTGGTCTCAGAGACCCCTTCCCTGAGCCCCTCGTCACTCAACCCATTTTGTCTCATTCGTTCCGTGAACTACCCTGAGGTCATCTTGCTTCCTCACATGTTCCCCTGCTTAACATACTCTCATTCACAAAAAGGGTGGCTGCCCAGAGCAGGAAGTTCATCCTACTCACTGCCAGACCCCCACTACCCATGCGCAGTGCTTGGCAGTGGTGGGTGTTCAACACGTGTCCTGACCCCCTGGCCACACACTGGATGGATGCATGCCCGTTTGCGTGGGTGGCATCTGAGACTTCCTGTGGCAGGTGAAGGTAGCCGCAGGGAGACAGGTCGGCCGATTAGCCAGGAAGAGTCTGGCAGACCCCTGTCACTCGTGACATGTGGAGTTGGCCTCCTTTAGGGACAGCACTGCTTTTGTCCTCAGACACACAGCACCACCCTCAGGGAGGCCCATGGCCAAGGGCCAGCCTGACTTTCTAGAGAAGGCAAGATGCCGTACCAGAAGTTGCTTGAGGTGCGGGCGCAGATGGCCCTGGCCGCCCGAGCCTATCCCTGGCCGTGCTGGACAGGGAGGGTGGCCTGGGGTCCTGCTACCCTCAGACCCCTAGAGCAGCCTTCAGAAGCCTTGGTGAGCACAGCATGGGGGGAGCCTCTGGGGGAGGGGGTCAGCCCCCAGTGCCCGTGTTATGACAGGCTGATCTGGGATGGGTGTCTCTTAGGGGTAGAGGCTTGAGACTTGTTAAGGCCAGTGGGGAGTGGGGCAGAGATAGAAGATCCAGAGAACAAGAAACCAGACCCCACCTGTCTCCTGACCTTGAACTTCACGTGGTGACAGTAAAGCACGCCCCCGGCAGTTGCTGCAACACATCTGCTCGGGGAATCGCTCACTGGCTCCCCAGTGAACCCAGTGACCTCGGCCTGGAATAAGGTCAGGGTGAAAGCTGGAGACGGCAGTGCTTCCTGCCCAGGCCCAGAGCTGTTGCCAGCTGGCGCTAAGCCTCAGGGTTCTAGAAGCTCACGTGTGGACTGAATCACATGGAACCAGAAACAGCCACAGACGTGTTTTCGTATATGCACAAAGCTTGTGGAAATTTTGAGAAGTTGCCAATCTTTAGAAACTCAAAGATTTCACATGAAAAGATGGATTTCTAGCTTCTCTGAAAGAACAACCCACAATCCCAGGCCTGAATTGCCACATGGTGACTCTTGGCTGAGGCCAGTGTGAGCCCATTTCAGAAAGAGCATGAGTTCTCCAATTTGCTGCAGTCCCCACCACCCCCTACTGCCTGACTCCCAATTGTTTCACTCATTAACTTGGCCTGTCCTGCCACCACAGCCATGGAGTTGGAAACAGCTGCTCGGCATACACAAAAGGCCCCTTATTCCCGCCCATCAGGCCCCCTCTCCCTCTGACTCCCTCAGCCGCTGACACACACTTACCCTCCTTCTCGGCAGGAGGCGCAGGACTCCTGCTTTTGCCTCGAGGGCTGCTGCTGGGCGGCTGGGGGGTGTCACTCTCCGGTTGCAGGTGCTGCGATGGTGGGGGGGCAGGGGGAGCTGGCTTAGAGGGAGCTGCTTCCTCCCGGGGCGGCTCGTGGACTTTGGTGACCTGCTGGGGGAAAGCCAGGAGGAGGGAGCGTCTTTACAGGCTGTTTGCAGGTCCCAGAGATCAGGGAAAGCCTTCCGGGCCCCCTGTGTGTGACCAGCCTCGAAGCTGAGGCCAAGGAGAGGTAGCAACATGTCTGAGAGCACAGGGCCTGAGGGCCAGGAGGGCAGGGCTTTGTGCCAAGTGTAGGGGGTGTGCCCAGCATCCTGGGCACCTGGCTGTGGACGGGGAGCCCTCATTACCCTGCCCCTAGCCCCTTCTCCCTTCCCCAAATTTCTTGGGGTCTTAGAGAGATCAGAGCTGACAAATGGGACAGTGCCCGGCTGTGGGGAGCAGGCAGCACAGGCTGGCACTCCTTGTACCCCTCACTTAAAAAGCCCTGGTCACCTTGGAGTCTTTCAGCCCACAGCCCGCAGGTGCACTGGAAGGCCAGGCTCACATCCTGGGCGAGGGCAATGACTATATGAGGGTGCCCAGTCACTTCAGTCGTGTCCAGCTCTTGGCCACCCTATGGACTGTAGCCCGCCAGGCTCCTCTGTCCATGGGATTTCCCAGGCAAGAATACTGGAGTGGGTTACCATGCCCTTCTCCAGGGGATCTTCCCAACCCAGGGATTGAACTCGCATCTCTTACGTCTCCTGCATCGGCAGACGGGTTCTTTACCACTAGCACCACCAATGACTGAGCCGTTACAATTAGGGGCACCTCTGAGGGTCCTCCTGCTTGGCCTGGAGAATCTTCTGGACAACCCCCCAAACCCTGTAGAGGGTCTTAAGTTAACTAGTGAGGCCCTGCCTTCCTCTCTGAGGTGCTGTGACAGTGGGGGGCTTCCTGCCTGGTCTGAGGGGCTCTGGAGAACCCTCAGCAGGCGGGGGTGGTGGGGTGAGAGCTGCCAGGCTGGGAAGCCAGAAGGAGGAGACCTGCAGGCCGGGTACTTTGGGGGCCCCCCGGCCCCCCTACTGTTCCTGCCTGTCTCCTTGGGGATTTCTACAGGAAACAGGAGGCGGTGGGAAGAGGGGGGGCTGCAGGTGCCGGGCCTCCACCTCCCTGGTCTGTGATCAGCCTGATTTATTGTCTCCCCACCAGGAAGTGACGGTCACGGGGTCTCTGGGCAGCCAGGCTGGATGGGGGTCCTGGTCATGGGAGGGGGGCCCAGGACTCACGATCGGGGGGATGGCAGCTGCCCGCTGCTTCAGCTGTTTCAGGTCCAGCGGCTTCTGGGGCGAGGATCAGGCCCATGGGCTCACAGCCTCTCCTGGCTCCTGCCTGGATGATGTGGCTGGTGGGGGGGTGGGCTGCCAGAGGGAGGCAAACATCCAGGGCTGGGGAGACCTGGGGTCGGGATGGAGGCTTTTCCCTCCCTCCTCTGCTCCATGCAAGGAACCAAGACCCCTCCCACCCCAGCCCAGAGGATCAAATGATCCCGAGATGGCCCAGGGCAAGGAAAGTTCCAGAGAAGCCCATACTCAGGGCCCACACCACGCTCGGCCCTTGGGAAGCTGCTGGGAAACCCAAGAATCAACCTGATTAAGGCTTGGGAAGCTTAGGAGATTCAGGGAGATGACTCATCATCCAAGTATGAGAGACTCAGGCCCCAGGGTAGGGACCCGGGATATGGTGCTGAGTGGACCCTGCTTACTGGAAATGAAGACTGGGGTGCCCTCCCACTCAACCAGAATGTGTGGCTAACCGGAATCTCACCCGCATACCAGGCGGGCGTAGGCTCTGCGGGTGCAGGGTCAGCGTGTACATTGCCCGCCCTGCAGTCATAAGTGGGGCTCTGGTGCTGAGCTGGGCCTGCAGGTAGCTTGTCCTCTAAAGCAAGGTCACGTCTGTCTGCTGCTGACACGCAGAACAGGGCAGCAACCTGCTAAGGGTGCACGGTGTGTGTGTGTGTGTGTGCGCGTGTGCAACCTGCTAAGGGTGCACGGTGTGTGTGTGTGTGTGTGTGTGTGTGTCTGCACACAGGTGCACGGAGGAGGGCAGGAAGGGCAGGGGGCTGAAACACGGTGGGCTGCCAGGGCTGGGGTCACCCCAGGGTCGAGCTGCTGCAGTGGCTTGGGTCCCCGGGGCAGAGGCTGCCCTGGGGCATGGCTCCAGAGCTGCTCACCAGTGTCCCCTCCTTAAGAGGTCTTCAGGGATTTCCAGGACACAACAGCCCTGGCCCAGTGCCATGCCACAAGCCCCGTCTGGTTCACCAGCTGGCACGAGGTCTCCAGGGCAGAAGCTCAGAGCCCCAGCCTCAGAGCCCCTCAACTCCACACTAGGGCTGCCGGGTTCCTGCCCAGCTCTCGAGTCCCACCTGGGACCACCACTTGCTGAATACACAGCAGGCCTGGGGGAATCAGTGTGCACGCACAAAGGCAATGGCCGTGGGCTGGATTCAGCCAGGAGGGAGAATCACAAGACAGGTTAGCGAAGCCTGAGGGTCCTGTGGGCACAGCCCCTAGTGTGTGTCGTGACCATCCTGGCTGATGCCATGGGCAGACCGTTGGCACAGCCCCTGCTTTCCAGGTAAGATCCGTGACAGCCAGGGTGCAGCTCACACCACCCAGAGCTGGCTGCCAGATGCCAAGAGTGGATCACGTGCCTTCCCACCGGCATGCAGGACAGACGCGTGACGTGCAGCCGATGGGCCCCCTGCTCTCTGCGGTGATGGGACCACAGCCCGTGACAAGCCAGTCCCTCGGGTGCTGACCCCTTGCCCACATCTGCCACACGCTCAGTTGAGCAGAGACGGTCTCGGCGACACCCCCTGGGGCTGCCCACGGCATGCAAGTGGCGCCGGGCTCCGAGGTCAGACTGACTTCATGCTCAGCTGGGCTTCACAGTCCTCCTGACCAGCTCACGCTCCCTGCCGTCCTCACCTCTCTCGACCTCTCCAGATCCTGCTCAGGCTCCCAGGACCACTGGAGGCCTCTCCTCTGTGGCTGCCCACCCTCGCTCCCCTAGAGACCCAAGCCCAGCCTCGTTTTGCCCACTATCCTTGGGCCAGAGCACCCTGACCAGGTCCAAGAACCCATGCTCTCACTCGTCCTGTACTCCTCACTGCCGCTTCAAATGTCACCATCCCAGCCTCGCGCCCCTTCTCTTGCAACTAATTATCACTGTCTGCTTAAATCAACTTGTATTTGTAAACTTAAGAGTGAATACACTGCAGCCCTTCTGGAAAATGCTTCAGCATTTCCTCAGGAAGTGCAGTAGAGTCACTATAGGGCCCAGCACTTGCACTGCTGGGCTTACACTCATGAGAATAGACACACACACACACACACACACACACCAACCGTTCACGAAAGATCATAGCAGCCACGATTTGCAAAAGCCAAAAGGTGGAAGCAATCCCCACAGACAAAACCAGGTGAAATGGATAAGCAAAATGTGGTATGTCCATGCAGTGGAATATTACTCAGCCAAAAAGAATGACTCCAGGCTATAACTTAGATGAACCTCAGAAACATGATGCTGAGTGCAAGAAGCCGGTTGCAAAAGGCCACGTACTGCACGATGCCATTTACATGAAATTCCCATAGGAGGCAAATCCATAGACACAGAAGATAAGATGAGTGGGTACCAGGGGCTGGGGGGTGGGGGATAAGGACTGACTGCTAATGGCCTGGGGATTCTTTTCGGGGTAGTTGACAATATACTGGAATTAAACAGTGCTGATGATTACATAACTCTGTGAATGTACTAAAAAAATCACACTTCAATGGCTGAATTGTATGACTTGTGAATTATGTCTCAGTAAAGCTGTTACAAGGAAAAGATAAAGAATATACTCCTTGCTGGCCACAAAATCAAGGGTTTGATATATTAAGTATATTGTTTCAATAAACAATGAAGTAATAATGCTATACTATTATCTACTGTATAAAATATTTAAAAATGCAAATTTTAAAGTTAAAATATAAACTTTTATGTCTATGTAAATATAATTTTGTAGGGACACAAAATATGCTTTTATGATTCAAATAAAAAGCCAAGTGTGTGTCTCACTCTGATTGTCAGTGATCTAGGGCCTTTGTCCTGCCCTGGTTTCCCTGTGGCTCCTTGTCCAGGCAGGGAGCAGGCAGATTGGAGGGGAGCAGGGATCACTCTCAAATGCCCTCAGCAGGCACCAGCTGGCGGTGTGCATGGAGGCCCAGACCCCTCTCTCGAGTACCCCCGACCTCACCCGGGGAGGCAAGAGCTCAGCGGGGGCTGCAGCCACGGGCACCGCACTGCACAGTTGACAAGATGAGAGCAGCCTGACCGCTCACTGTAAAGAGAGCAGCATCCAAGAGCAAGGGCCTGAATCCTGATCTTTAACAAGCCCAAGGGGCCTGAGCCTCCCCACTACCCCCGAAGGGCGGGAAGATGCCTGGCGCTCACGTGGACCCCGAACTTCCTCATCCCACCTCCGCAGCAGCAGGAGCCACCACCTCCAGGAGCTCTCCTCACAGTGTTGCCCTCCCTCTGTTCTCTCTCCTTTGTTTTCTTGGAAGACAGGGCATTTATTTTCCTCCCCAGAGACCGGGGCAGGGTAGGGGCTCTCGGAGCCTGGCACTGTGCATGTGACCTGGGCCGGGAGGGGTGGGGGCGGGGGTTGGGGGGAAGCTGGGTGGCGGGGGAAGCCGGCAACTCGGCTGGGAGCAGCCGGGGCCCTGCCCCTTAACCCTGAAGTTCAAGACTCCACCTCCCAGTTCAAATCCCACCACTGGCCGGATCACTTGACCGACTGTGCCTGACTCAGTTTCCTCATCTGTGAAATGGGTATGAGAACGGGCGCTCCCTCCAGCGACTGTCCCGTGGGTAGGACACAGGAAGGCACAGGAAGCCATGATGACAATGTCCAGTGCTGAGCAGCCTGGGCATCTCCTCATCCCTGTGGGTTTTCTTCCCACCCTGGAAGACCAGGGCTGAGGAGGGCGCAGGGCCCCAGGGGACTCTGGGTCTGCAACAGTATGTCCCTTCTCTGCTGAGCCCCCTCCCCAGATTCCTCATTACCGCTGGGCTGGGATAATCCCGGCTGCCAAGTTGGGGCTGGGAAGGCAGGATCATGAAGATACACAAAGGCATGGTCATGCTGGTCTCCCATGCCCCCAAGATAAAACCCCACTCCTTGCCTTAACCCCCGGGGCCCTGTGGGGCCAGGTAGAGCCAGGACCCTGCCCACCCCTGTGACCTCCCCTCAGGCCCTCTCCTCCTTCCCTCACTCGCTCCGCTCTCTGCCACAGGCCTCTTTGCCGTCTAAGGAACATAAGCTCGTGAGGCCATAGGATCCTTGAACTGGCTGTTCTCTCTGCCAACTTTCCCTCCATGCCTCATAGTCTGTGTTCCCATCATCCTTCAATGTCACCTCCTCAGGCAGGTCTCCCTGACTGCCCCTCACACTCCCCCCATGACCAATCTCTCCCTCATGCCCTCATCACACCAGCATTCCCTTTATTCCACTGCTGTTCCAATTCTGCACGAATCGCTCCCGGTGAAATGTAAGCTTCCTGGAGCCAGGACCTCATTTGTTGCTGCTCCCCTTGAGTCCAGGATGGTACCTGGCACACCCCAGGGCCTAGTTAATCATTTATGGAAAAGAGAAATAAAGGAGAAATTGCCGTTACATTCTTTTGAAATTCCAGGGGCTCAGCGGAAGCGACTACATTCCAACCTCCTCGTGGAGTGAACTTTGGGGGCTCCTGAAGCAGTTCCAAAGGAAGGGAGCAACTCTTTTCATTGAGCATCTTACCGTGGGCTCGGAACTCCATTATCCTCCCAAGCAGCCTGTAAGCAGGGATACCCACGCCCATCTTGTGGGTGAAAAACCTGAGGTCCAGGGAAAGGCACTTCTGAAGGCCCAGCCCTGCCAGAAAGTGCCCGGCACTGTCTCTGGGAAACGGAACAGGCTGGGGCAGGCGAGCTCAAGGCTCTGCAATCAAAGCCACTATCTCTGGCCGCTGGCCAAGAAAACTCCCAGGCGGAGCTGTCTGGCAGAAAGCAATGGAGAGTAAAAAGCAGGATATGATTTTCTCTCCCAAAGCCGTATGGGCATGGGCCAGAACGCAATGCATTGTATGTCTTGTCCAGGGATGCCCAGTGCACTGCGCTGAGACTGCCAGGCGGGAGGCAGGGGTGTGGGCAGGGGGCCAGGACCTGGGGTCGCCCACCGATCTCTCTGGGGCGGTGGGGGGGTGGTGCTGGCTGCCAGGGCGCACTCTGACGCATCTCGCCTGCGTCCTCCGGCGCCCGCCTGGCCCCGTGCGGCCGCAGCCGGGGCAGGAGGGAGGGGTGGCGGACTGCCAGCCAGGAAGAGGTCAGGAGGCTGGCCTGAGTCCAGCCTCACCCTGAGGGCGGGGGACTGGCCTCGGTCACAGAGGGCGTGACAAACCAGGTGTCCTGACTCCCAGCCCAGGGCTCCTGCTCCCGAGGGACCAAAGGCTGGACGCTCGGGCAGGAAGAGTGGACAGGAGCCAGACCCAGCTGGGGGAGAGAAGGACACGTCCCTGGGTGGGGCTGAGGTTGTTGGGGGAGAGGCTGAAAGTAGGCTGCGGGGCTTCGGGCCTGGCCCGAGAGGTCCAGGAGGAAACTGTTGGGACCCAGGCCAACCCTCCGAGCTGTCCAGCCCAGGCAGGCCATGTGTACCCAAAACACAGACTCCAGGAGGCCGCTTATCAGCATGGCTGTCCCATGAGCTCAACGCTCTTCCCGCTAAGAGCAGAAACGTGTGTTTCCATGACTCTGTCTCTGCGGCCAGCAGGAGTTGGGTGGGGAGCCGCCCACCCTGACCCCATTACCCAGGCACAAAGAGCGAGACTCTGGCCCAGGGCCCTCCCCGGCAGATCGGGCCGCCGTGAACTCTTGTTTTCCAAGCTGCACCCACTGGACAGGAAACTCAGGACCTCCGGGCCCCCAGAAACCTGCTGGCCAGACCTCTGCTTATCCAAGAGCCATACAAGAGGGCTGAGAGTCCTGCCAGGGACCAAAGGTAGCTCACCGAACAGGTGGGGACCCAGCGAGCTCTGACCAAGTCCGGTTTTCACATGAAACGTTCTAGCACTTGCCATCTTCGCATGCCCCAAGGTGAATCACTGTGCAGAGGAAACGGCTCCCAGTGAACCGGTCGGATTTGAAAGTCAGATTTTCCTCCCTCTCGCGCTGCCCAGAACTTTTCCGAGAGACGTGAAAGGAGCGAAAACAGACTGCACTGTTTTCAGTCAAAATAAAAATGACCGGCCCGCCTCACGAGAAAACAATTCCTTAAGCCGCCCAGATGCAGGCAGGTGTGGCTCTCCGCAGCCCTGCCCTTTGCTGCCCATGTTGGGCCCTGAGTGGGGCCTGCCAGCTTCCACTCTGGCCGGGGTCTTGGGGACCCTCAGTGGGCAGAAGATGAATCAGCCAGGATCCCAGGAATCTGCCACTTGGCCCCACGTCCACCGCCACCAGCCTCACCAGCCACAGGACACCCCCAAGGCCGCCTCACAAAGTGCATCCCTCTGCCCCTCCAGCCCCCCATTAAATCTCCCTCCTCGCACCGCTGGCAAGTTTCAGAGCCTGAGACACACCCCAAGTCTCAGGCACAAGCTGCGGAGGTCTCACTGTCCTGAGAACAAAATGCAGCCACCCAGCCAGCCCAGAGGCCCCGCAAGGTGGGCTGGTCTGCTGAATCGTGCAGGCTCAGTCCCGCACCCCACCTCTGCACTTGCTGGGCCCACTGAGTTGAGGGTAGAACTTTGTCTCTCCAAGTCTGTTCAAGTCCTAAGAGCGAAATACCTGGGAATGTGAACTTCTTTGGAAATAGGCTCTTTGCAAATGTGATGCAGTTAAGAGGAGGTCCTAAGGGTGGACGCTCATCCAAGGACTGACGTTTTATGGCCAAAGGGAAATGTGGGCAGAGGGACACGTGCAAAGAAATGTCATGGGACCACAAAGTGATGCATCTACAAGTCAAGGATGGCCGGCACCACCAGAAGCTGGAGGAGGCAGGAAGGAGCCTTCAGGGGGAGTGGCCCTGCCGATGCCTTGACTCTGGGGTGGCCCTTGGTGGCGGCAGCTCTGGAAGCTAATCCATGACCACTGTCACCCTACTTCTCCCCGCCCAGGGTCAGCTCAGAGGCCACCGCTAAGGGGGAACCAACCCCATCGATGCTGCCCTGTCCCAACACTGGAACTCCTGCCCGACGGAGAATGCTTAGCGGCGGCCCCCTCTTCCTCTGAGGGCAGGCGAGGAATCGGCCTCGCGTGCCGTGGTCTCGGTACACGGGTGACGCTCAAGGAGACGACGAGGCCGGCGCACTCACCTGTTCTTGTCGCCGCCCTCGGGCTCGTCCACCTCGTCGGCACTGCAGGTCGCGCTGGAGTCACTGTCCTGCGGGGCGCCTGAGCCCTTGGCCGCCGGGCCTTTGCCCCCAGAGCCGCTGGCCTCCTTCTTCTCCACCTTGAGCGCCCCCTCGGGCGCGGCCTCCGCTGTGGCCTCCGGGCTAGCCTTCACCTTGTCGGGCCCCTCTCCGGCGGCCTCCTCCTCACACTCAGTCTTGACGGGTTCCGCGGGGCGCGCCTCGCCCGGCTCCTCCGTCTTGGCCTTGCCCACGTCGGCCGCCAGCTCTGGGGCCACGGAGGGCTTCTGCTCCTCCCCCTCCTCGGCTGAGGGGGCGGCTGCGGCCTCTTCCTCCTTCTCCTCCTTGGGGACCACGGCAGGGGGCGTGGCGGGCGACTGATCGGTGGGGGCCGGGGCGTCCTCGGGTGGTGGGGTGGGCGGCTCAGGAGGTGGTGCATCCGTGCCCGGGGCGGGCGGGGGCTTGGGCCCGTTCTGCCCCGTGTCCTTGGCGGCCTCGGTGCGGGGTGACGGGACGCTCTCGGTGTCGGAGCTGTTGTTGACGGCGGCTGCGGAGAGAGAGCAAAGATGGGGTGAGTGGTGCCAGGGAGGCTCAGGGCTGAGACAGGTGGGACCCTGCCCACGCTGCCCCCACCACCCAATGACCCAGACTGTGCAGCCTGGCTCTGGGTAGGAGTTCAGGGGGCCGCGGTCCCATCCCTGGACACCAAACAGCCCCGAGGCTCCTACACACCTGGGCAGCCCGCCTAGCCCCTCCCAGACCTCCATCCTCCTCTGGCCGCCCTCTCCACCTGCTGACCCTGGAGGACTCAGGACCTGTTAACTTCCGATCCACGGAGTGGCTGGGTGCGTGGCCAGCGCCCTACGGAGCCGGGCTAGGGGCAGCCAGGGGTGCATGCTTTTGCTCTGGGGTCTCCTTGTTCTCACTGGAGCTGCAGCCCTTGCTCTGGCCCTGCTGACACAGTGACCTCCCGGCCTCACTTTCCCCATCTGTAGAGTGGGGAGAACAGTTCCCTCCTCACAGGGGTTGCGGCACACAGGGTGACACCTGGCAACTGTTTGCTGTTGTGTCATCACTGTCGTCCTCATAAAATGCAGCCAATGAACCTGGAGGAGCTCACGGGGAGAGGCTCCACACCAACTACAGCCCCTGGCCACTGTCCACAGGGCTGGTATGCAGCCGGTGCACAATAAATGCTGATCGAACGACAACATGCACAGATGAAGGGAAAGGGGACCTCAGCTCCAGACCTGGCTCCTTAGCCTTAACCACGACTCCTGTCACCTCTTTGGGTTTCAGTTTTCCTCACTTTCTACAGAATGGGGACATTTGAAACCTCCCTCCCCCACACTTGCTGTAGGGGAAACAGAAGTGGGTAAGAGTCACAGGTGAACACACTAGTAAGAAATCAACGGAACAGTCGAGTCGAGTGCACTCATCTGCAGGTGCGAGCCAGGGAACAGCATGGGGAACAGACACTGCGCTGAGGAGGGGGAACAGAGGTGGCGGTGGCACCAGCGGTGGTGCTCCAGGCAGAGGTGTGCTCACAGAGGTGGGGCCCCTCATAGACAACAGGGGACCTGGGGGTGCCCCCCACCCCGGCCTGGCCCTACCCCCACCCCCCCAGGCCAGCTGGCCACATTCGTACCTGGGCCACTGCATTCCCCTCTGGGGACCTCGTTCCCAGAGGCCTGTAAGGCTGGAAGGAAGTGAGAGAAGGGTTAGAAGCGAGGTGGCATGAGGAGCAGGTGGGGAGAGAAGAGGATTTGGGGCCAGGCAGGCAGGGAGGACCTACAACCCTGTCCCGAAAGCCCGCAGCCCAGAACACTCCTGGGTGTCCTTGGACAAGTCACTGGCCTTCTCTGGTTCCCGGCTCCAGGGCCCTCGGGGTGGGGTGCTGGCCTCAGAGAGGGGCAGGGCTGGAGGGAGAGGCCTTTGGGGCTGCCCGGCCCCATCTCACCCCTCAGACACGGAGCCAGACCGACAGGGGCTGCCAGTGCCCTGCAAAAACACCTCCTTCAGCCTTTACTGCCCCCAGACTCCCACCTCGCCCATCTCTTGCCTTGAGGCCCAGAGCAAAGGCCACTCCTCCCAGAAATGACCATCCCAACAACAGCAACACAGGCTTGCTCTGTGGGTGTTGGGCTCTGGGCAAAGCTCTTCACACACACAACTCATCCTCAGTCACCTCTAAGTTAGAGACGATCATCATCACTCTGCTTTGCAGATGAGGAAACAGAGAGGCTGAGTCACTTGTCCCAGGCCGCACTGCATGGGGGCAGGAGAAGGCTGACCCCAGCATCCTGTATCCCCAACCACAGGGTTCCTGACCCCGTCTTCTGACTCCGGCAATGTCACTCCCTCCTTCCACATCGTCACACTCCAGGACGAAGGGGGCCAGCACTGAGGTCCTCTGGACAAATGGCTTAGCCCCAGAGTCTGTGCGTTTATCTATAAAATGAGTGGTTTATGCCTGGCTCTTTCTCTTATCCAGCAGCTTATCTCTGTCAGGGATTCTCAGGCATGAGCGTGCCTGAGGGCTGTGAAGACTTGGCTAGGCCTACCCCCAAAACATTCCTCACTCAGTAGGTCCAGGTGGGGCCCAAGAATCTGTGTTTCTGACAAGTTTAAATCCTGGTCCCCAAACAGGCCAACTGGCTTCCTTGGATAACTTCCCTGTGTCTCAGAGTCCTTGTCTATAAAACGGGGTGACGACAGCACTCATTGGGCTGTTGTGAGGATTAAAGGGAATAATTCAAGGCTGATGCTCTTATTACAACCACAATCTTTACTGGAGAAACTACAGGGTCAAATGGATCACTCCTCCATCCCCTGGACTCATCTCCAGCCTGGATACAAGGCCCTTGCTGCCTACCCCCTGGAGGGGTCTGTGGTGCTGTTGGGGCTGGTGGGATATTCTAGATGGTTCCATTGGAAAGACCTGAGGCCCTAACCCGGGATCTACCTCCCCTCCCCTATCCTGGTCACAAGGGACAGGTTTACACAGCAAATGCCAGTCTGATTGGCAGATTCCAACTCTACCAGCTACATGACACCCTGTGTGAGTAATTCTCCTCTCCTTCCCCACATGAGGCCTCTGTTTCCTCATCTGTTAAGATGGGACCATCACCCGGTGCCTTTGGGCAGAATCTTCTCAACTGCCTCCCTTGATGTGCTCGGGGCCACCAGGTGGTCACAGAAGCCCTGGGTTCAGCAAGCCAGCCAAGAATGCCCCTCTCCCATCCTTGATAGGGAGTGTGAACCCTACAGGGGACAGAGAACTCACTACCTCAAAATTCTCTAACTGGGCAGCATCTGTTCTGCTTTTAATGCCGAGCCAAAGTCTGGCTTCCTTTAACTTTCCCACCAAGCCTGCATCCTGCCCACACACAGCCGGGAGGATATTTAAAGAGGAGAGTGGGTTCTTGCTCCCCAGGTTCCCTTTTCCTGGTTACAGACCCAGGACTCAGAATTCAAGGACCCGAGGGATTTGGAACCTTCCATCAGAAACTGGTCAGGCCTCTAGCCAACCTGGGCTGGAGAGACCCAGGGCTGAGGAGGAGGCCACACTCAGCACCCCAGGTCACTCCCAACACAATAACAACAACCAAATGAGCCGATTCTTCATTTTCAACCTGGAAGTAGGATTCAGACTGGTGAATACACTGCAGGCTGGCACAACTTGGATTTATTTGCATGTCTTGCTTACAGAGCCGGGGGTGATTCACACCTTCCTTGCACACACTGGCAGAAGTTTGGGAGTTTAAATGCAGGGGCAGGCAGACAGGAGTGACAGGAGGGAAACCTGGGCAGGAGACAGGATGGGAGGAGAGGAGGGTGCCTTCACCAAGAACATTAGGCCCCGCTGGGGAGTTCTGGATGGCGGGATGGCAGAAGGAGAAGCAGACACATTTAGCAGAGCAGGGGAGGGGGGGTTTTCAGGGGTGTTGTATGTGGGGTCTTCAGAGCTGGTGTAGACGAAGTAAAAGGGAGAGGGCTGGGGGCCAAAGGCAGAGTAATCAGTGACCAGGAACGCAGGCCTGCCCTTGGGCAGCCTGGTGTGACTTCCACATTTATAAATGCTATTTGCATAGCGGAGCCGGGTGTTACATGGGGGTCAGGCTCTGAAGCTGAGTGACCATCTCGTGTAGTTGAAATCCTCCTTTTGAGAAGTGGGCAGAACCAAGAGCAAAATTTAAATATTAATTCTCACTTTCTCTTTAGCAGCCCTCACCAGGTGGCAGAATTCATCTAAGATCCAGGCCGACAATGCAACTCCGGGGTGCCTGATGCAATTGCTCCCAGCCTCAGTGCCCCCAGGCAGAAAGCTGGGGGCAGTGCAGTTTACCATTCAAATTCGGACACTTGGGAGCAAAATGAAGCATAATTACATAACTTTTGAATATCTATCGACCAACGGTATTGGATCTGCTTACACTGGTCAAAAAATAATGTATATTAGTCACTCAGTCATTTCCTGACTCTAATGCAACCTCATGGACTGTAGTCCACCAGACTCCTCTGTCCATGGGATTCTCCAGGCAGGAATACTGGAGCATAAAATAATGGTTCAGGTCAGAAAACTATTTTTATGGACTTCTCTGGTGGTCCAGTGATTAAGACTCCATGCTTCCACTGCAAGGGGCACGGGTTTGATTCCTGGTCGGAGAGCTAAGATCCCACGTGCTATGTGATGTGATTTAAAAAAAAAAAATCTATTTTCAAAAATAACAATTTTTTTCCCTAAAATGTGACACCAGATATGCTGGCAAGATAACAGGTGTCACCAGAACTGGATATGTCCTGAATGCATAAGGTCACCAAGACTGAACTCATAGAGGGCAGGAGGATTGAATGAACAAGTGTCCTGTGAGTGCAGAGAGGCAGATTACCATGATTATTGTTGCCACTGTCAACACCATCGTCATCATCACCATCATCACCATGATCATTACCATCACCATCATCGTCAAACATCACCATCATCACCATCAGCATCACTGACATCATCACCACCATCACCACCGTCACCATCATCATCTTCATCATCATCACCATCACCACCATCGTCAAACATCACCATCATCACCATGGTCATTGTCATCATCACTATCACCATCACTGACATCATCACCACCATCGTCACCATCACCACCATCACCATCATCATCATCGTCATCACCATCACCACCATTGTCAAACATCACCATCATCACCATGATCGTCATCATCACTATCACCATCACTGACATCATCACCACCATTGTCACCATCACCACCATCGTCACCATCATCATCATCGTCACCGTCACCATCACCACCATCGTCAAACATCACCATCACCACCATGATCATCACCCTCTCCCTTTTGGGGCAGTCCAGGCCCCTTCTCAGCAGGACCCAGGCATTTCTGGAAGAGGTCAGCTCCCACTGCCCACCCTCACCTTCTGCCTCCTCTGCCATCTCCTCTTCGTTTCCACTCACGCCCGACGCCTCCATCTCCTCGTCCTCCACTACAGGTGGGAAGGCGGCCTCCTCACTGGCAGCGGCCGGGGCTTTCTTCTTCTTCCTCCGTGCATTCCTCTCCTTCTCCTAGGGCACAGGGATAGTGGCGGGTCAGGGCCAGCACCAGGGCCAGGACCTGGGCTGTCAGCCCGGGGACTCCTGGAGCCAGAAGCCTGCCATAGCTCCTAGGGACAGTGATCCTGGCCACGTGATCCCAAGGGCGCTCTTCCCCGCTCACTCCCGAACTGCACAGCCAGACATGCCAGTGGTTATTTTTACCCAGAGCTTCATTCTTCCATCGTGTCCCAGATACACCAGGGCGCAGCCTGGCCTATGGGCTGCCCCAACATCCTTCCAGAACAGGCGAGGAAGGACTGCCACTGCCTGGAGGCCCCCCATGATTGCTCCAGCCCTGCTGGCTGTCCAAGCCAGAGCGATGACCACACTCCCTGGAGGGCACACTGCCAGGCAGTGCAGTCAGTACACTGGAGAGAATGAATGGATGAAGCGTCCCCTTGCGGCACCATCTGCCCCCAGGTTAGCTTGGGTGGCGTGTCATTTCACCCCACCGGTTTTTACAGTATACCAGAGGATAAGAAAGCACAACGAATGATGTAGACAGGGTCTCTGCCCCTCCACAGGCCAGCTAGTCAGGGAGACAGCAATCGACACACCAATTAAAAAGAAGACTCAGAGGTGGAAGCACGGCAGCCCATGGGGACAGACAGGGCGGGGCGAGAGTGCAGGGGGGTGGGGCTCAGGAAAGACTTCTCGGAAGAGATGATATCTGAGCTGAGTCCTGAGAAGAAGCTGGCCAGACAAGGCTCTGGACAAGAGTGGCCCAGGTGGAAGGAACTGCAAGTACGGAGGCTGGAGGTGGAACCAGCTGCGTGGTTCGAGGAACAGAAAGAAGGCCCTTGGTCGGCAGCCTTTCACTTCCCTCCACACCTCCCCCCAGTCTGGTCCCCAGAAGCCCTGCTCCCCGCTCTGGGAGCCAAGGGCCCACCCCCAGCCGGGGTACAATCCAATGCAGGACACCTGGGTTCGATCCCTGGGTTGGGAAGATCCCCTGGAGAAGGAAATGGCAACTGACTCCAGGATTCTTGCCCGGAGAATCCCATGGACGGAGGAACCTGGTAGGCTACAGTCCACAGGGTAGCAAAGAGTCGGACACGACTGAACGACTTCACTTTCACTTTGAACCCTAGAATGGGACCTGACTTAGAAATGAGCTCTTTGCAGATGTAATCAGGTGAGATGAGGTCTTATTAGGTGAGAAGAAGAAGAAAGAAGAAGTCTGCTCAGTCGTATCCGACTCTTTGCAGCCCCATGGACCATACAGTCCGTGGAATTCTCCAGGCCAGAATATTGGAGTGCGTAGCCATCTCCTTCTTCAGGGGATCTTCCCAACCCAGGGATCAAACCCAGGTCTCCTGCATTGCAGCCGGATTCTTTACTAACTGAGCTATTAGGGAAGCCCAACTGAGCTATGAGGGAGGACCCTAAATCTAACATGACTGCTGTCCTTAGAAGAAGAGGGACTCTTGGACACAGAGGCACCCAGAGCCACCAGCCGAGGAATGTCCGGGATTGTGGGCCCGCCCCAGAAGCTGGGAGAGCAGGGCGGGGGGGCCTCCCCTGGAGCCTTTGGAAGGAGCAGGACCCTGCCGACACCTTGGTTTCAGACTTCTAGCCTCTAGGATTGCAAGATAGCAAGTTCCCGTACCAGTTTGTGGTATGCTATTACAGGGGAAAGGGCACTAATGAACCTCCCCTCTGCCAGTTCCCCGGCCCCATGCAGTCCAACTCACTCTCAGACAAATGCCCCATCACCTCCAGGTGCCAGCAGGCTCTGCGCAGCCTGGCCCCTTACCATGCGGGGCCGCGAGCAGGCCTCAGGGGTCCCCAGGCCCCAGCCCCTGCCCAGGAGTTGGATCACTTCCTGTCCTGTCTCCTTCCTGAGCAAACGGGGCTCCTCAGAGTGCAGCCGCTCAGAGTATAGGGAAGAAGAGGGAAAGTCCGTTTGCCTGTTAGTCACGGTTTCCGTCACCAGCGCTCGGCCAGGGCTGCAGCCCCACCCTGCCGAGCGTCCACCGGGCCCCTGGGCACGCCCAGCTCCGCTGCCATCCGCCCGCCTCCAGGGGCTGGCGCAGCCCAGCACCAAATCCCGAGCTTCTCCCGGGAGGGTCCCCTGGCTGGAGCTCGCGAGGACACGAGAAAGTGGTGTGGCATGTGGGTTCTGTGGGTGCGGCTGAGGGTTCCCGCTTCTTCCCCAATCTATTTTTAGCAGACAGGGACCCACTCGAGTGTTTGGGGCTGGGTGAGGGTGAGCGATCAGCTGCCTGGGGGCTGGGTCAGGGGGAAACACTTGGAGCCTCATAGGGAATGGGGGCTTCCTGTGGGCCAGGCAGGGAGGCACCTCCTGGGGAAACTGAGGTCCCTTGGACCCGCAGCCCAGGCCACATCATCCCAAGCGGGGTGAGTATGACGTCAAGACCAGAATCTCCCCAACACCGCGTCTGAGAGGCTGGCGGACTTCATGTCCCAGGAATCATACCAAATCCTTCCACATGTGGTCCCAAACCCCAGAATTGAGAGTTGTGCATGGAACAGGAGATGCTGGTGATACTACGGTTAGTGATTGCAGCTGATGTTTATTAAGCACCTACTATGTGCCAAGCCTTCTCTACTTACAAATTTCCTGGGTCTGCACATCTGCTCTGCAAGTCAGAGAATTCTGCTCCCTGCTTTACACTCTCCAGCCATTCCGAGAACCCACAATATAAAAACTCAAGTCCTCCACACTCCATACAGTCCAGTGTGATTTAGATCTAGACCCCACTCAGCTCTCTAACTGGTTTACCTTCCAGGTCTTCTACAAACACTGCCCTTCTTATGCAAATGTGCTCACAGTGCCCTGGCCACAGGACCTTTGCACTGGTCATTCTTCTGGCTGAACATCCTTCTCCCAGACACCCACAATGCCCGCCTCCATCAGGGTTTCACTCGTACATCACCTTCCCAGAGAGGTCTTCCCTGATTACTCTGTCAAAATGAGCTAATCTCACTCCCCATCAATCACTTTCTACTACTATCCCTCATCGTACCATCTTCAGACCACAATCAGAAATTATCCGTGTGTTAACGTTAATTTGTCTCTCCAGCTAGAACTAACTTGTCAAGGGCTGGCACCTTTGTTCTCAGCTGAATTCCCAGCACACCTAGAACAGAGCCTGGTGCAGAACAGGCACTCTGTAACTACTTCTTTAGATGCATGAAACCGACAGACAAAGATACTGGCTCAGAGAGGCAAAGATCACACAGTTCGTGGGGTCAAGAAGCCCAGACTTCATTGCAGGTCAGGTTCACGTACTTCCCTGCCTGACCATCTCTTTCTCTTCAGGCCTGTGCAGCTTCAGATGGAAGAGGCAACAGAGGAAAACACGGCAAGGCGGGGGATGGTTTGAGACGGACAGACGCGGAGAGACACAGAAGCTGAGCCCCGGGGCCTGGATTCACAGATGGGAGGAAAGGGTAACCTTCGGCCACTAGGAGAGGGAGGGAAAACCTCGGAGAAGTCACCAGTGCCAGATGTTACATAACTCTGGGACGTGCTCTGCCTGCCCACCCGACCCTGCTTCCTGCTGACGCTGTCGGCGGCTACACTCAGGCCAGGTCTGGCGCAAGTCAGGAGGGGGCACCCCCTGACCCCCTGCTTCCCCGACTGCTTCCTCTGCTGGCGGGGGGTGACATGTCTTCCTGAGCTCCAGACGGGGCCTGGCCGGCAGCCAGAGGTGGCTGCCCCTGCTTCAGGAATCATAAGGACCTGTCTCCCTCCCAGAGTCTGGAGGGTGCGGGGCAGCATCTTGTGAGGCCTGCCTGCATTCTCCAGTGACGGGGAACTCATCCCTGCACCGTGGGTGGCCACTGTCAGGATGGCTGGACCCGGGTTGATGGGTCCCCAAATCCCTCAGTACACTTTCTCCGCAGCCTTCAACGTAAGTCCACTCCTTTGCAGTCAGCAGAGAAGGAGAGCCAACCCCACTTTCCCAAACAGCCCTTTCTCATCCACAAGTGACCAGCCAGGTTCACCCGTCTGCTGGCCTCAGAACATGGCCTGCCAGCCCCCACCTTCTGGGCCACTGCTTCCCACCAGGACCACCTCTGCTGAGTTCCGTGGGAGTCCTGGAACACAGGGAGGGGTCCAGAAAGGGAAGCCAGGGGCGCCTACAGATGTGAGTTCAAATCCTCCCTGTGGCCTCACCAGGCCCCTCTCCCATCTGACCTCAGCATCTTCACCTGAGGACGGGGTCAACGGTGACGACCTCAGGGGTCTGGGGAGGGGCCCAAGATGGAGCTCAGGGTCCCCCTGCTGCTCACAGCCCCCCTCCTCCTCAGCCTGCCAGTGATGTTGCCCGTCCACCAGCAAGTTCAGGGTCGGGAACAAGGAGGATGACCGTCTCTATCAACTTTGGCCGTGCTTTGCTGGGACCCGCACAATCTACCTCAAGCCCTGCCCCCGCGGGGTGGCCTCTCAGCTCACAAACCTTCGATGGCTCCCACTGTCCATTAAAGAAAGACCCATCTCCTCAGCCCAGCAGGAAACCCCACCCACGTGTATATGGATGGCACCAGCCATTTCTTCCCTGGCACATAGTAGGCACTCAGTAAAGCCGTGCCGAGCGTGCAACAGGGGTGCGGTCCAACACTTAGTAAGCACCAATCAGGGGCGGCACCCCGGCCTTTACAAGTAGGAAAGCCTCTGCAGCTCACAGCAACCCCACGAGCGGGGCCGGTCTTACCTCCTTTAAAGCGAGGCTGAGTGCCGAGGCCGCGAACCCACGGGCACCACCACTCAGGATGTGGCAGAGCTCTATGTGCCCTTTAGCCCAGGGCCCCACTCTATACCATCTGGCTAGGCTGCCTCTTTGGATGAGTGAATGAATGAATGAACCAATCGATCAATGAACCAATTCCTCAGGCAATCCAGGAGCAGACATACTCTGTACCCAATTAACAACCAAGAGAGATGCGACACCCTATCTCTCAGTGCACTTTCTCCGCAGCCTTCAATGTAAGTCCACTCCTTCGCAGTCAGCAGGGAAGGAGTGCACTTACATTATCCAGTCATCCCAGCCACCACGCACCAGGCGAACACGGGCAATTCACTACTGAACCCGCCAACACTGCCACCGCCACGTGGCTCTCAGTGAGGGACGCTCACAACATGCCAGGAACACTTCTAAGCACCCCACACCCATTTCACTCAAACTGTCCCCACAGCAGCCCTTTGAGGGGGACATTTGTGTGCTCAGTTGTGTCTGACTCTGTGACCCCATAGACTACAGCCTGCCAGGCTCCTCTGTCCATAGGGATTCTCCAGGCAAGAATACTGGTCTCTTCGAGGGGATCTTCCCCACCCAGGGATCAAACCCATGTCTCTTGTGTCTCCTGCATTGGCAGGTGGATTCTTTACCAACTATGCCACCTGGGAAGCCCACTTTGAGGTGGGAATTATCCCCATTTCATAAGTGGGAAAACTAAGGCCCAGAGAAGACAAACCACTGGCCCAAGGTTGCACAGCTAAGAAGCATCAGAATCTGCATCTGAACCTGGATGTCTGGGGCGAGTCCCTACCATGGTTGTTCCTACACATGTTATTCAAGAGAGTACCCGAAACACCCCTGAGAAGAAAAAGGGGGGGCCAGTGGCTTTAAAATAAAAATGATGCTGATACCACTACTAGTAATTAAGGCAGCCTGAGTTCTAGAAGTAAGGGTTATCATTATCATTCTCCCACTTTACAGATGAGGAAACTGAGGCTCGTGGGGGTGAAGCTGCTACTCAAGGTCACAGATGTCAATTCATGAAGCCAGGGCTTGATTCCACTTTCTCCCAGAGGACAAGCCACACCACCTATCCAGCTAGTATCTCTGGTGCCCCAACCCTCCTTCTCAAGTTCTGGGGTCTTCAGGGGTGCAGCAGGGCCATGTCCCAAGGAAACCTGGAAAGTGAGGCCGTGGGCCAGCAGGCTGTAAGAGGAGACTCCTGTAACCCAATAGCCAGGGGAAAGCATGCTGGTGTGTGGGCACTGGGCTGGGCTGAGCAGGGAATGGGAGGGGGAGGAGAGAGGCAGGGAGGACTGACAGGTCAGAAGGAGAAGGGGAGGGAGCAGGAAGACCTTTCTGTCCCTGGGGGATGTCAGGGCCAGCCACTGTCCCCGGTGTGTACAGGTGACCTGCCACCCACCTCCAACCACCACCACCACCTTGTGCTACAGGATCTTAGCAAGCGTTGTGTTCCAGACCAGGTGCCCCTCAGCCTCGGCCCTCCCCATCTTCCTCCCTGTAGAAAGCAGAGTCCTGGAACATCTAGAAGACCAGCAGAACTCCTTGTGTTCGAGCGAGCCCTGCCTGCAGCTTGAGGAGGAACAGAGGAGCACCGGGAACCAACTGCAGAGTGAGCAGGGGACAGGCAGGGGGCATAGCCCGACCCGACACAATGGGGACGCAGCGCAGGTAGAGGCCTGACCCAATGAAGCCTGCAGGTGGGCCTCAGCCCTGACCACGGGGCCATGGCAATCCTCCTCCAGCCAAGAACACTCAGGGGGCTGGGGAGTGGGTGGGCTAAGTCGTTCAGTCCTGCCGGACTCTGCAACCCCATGGACTGTAGCCAGGCTCCCCTGTCCGTGGGATTCTCCAGGCAAGAATACTGGCGTGGGCTGCCATTTCCTCCTCCAGGGGATCTTCCTGACCCAAAGATCGAACCCATGTCTCTCATGTCTCCTGCACTGGCAGGAAGGTTTTTTACCAATTGCACCACTAAGCCCAGGGGGCTGGGGAGTGATGTCCTCAAATTCGGCACAGCACTCCAGGAGCATTCAAAGGAGATTCTGGTCCTTGATCCGCCCGCCACACTGTGTGACCCCCAGCAGCCTGCTTGCCCTCTCTGGGCCACGGTGGGCTGCATGAGCAGCAATTCAGCCCCCAACCCCCAGACAGGCTTCACATACTTCAAACCCAGCAGAAGTGGCCCGATCGTGCAGAACTGGGGGGTGGACAGCTGTGCATCCCCCTCCTGTGCCCTCACATCTACAAGGAACTATGCAGCCTGCCGGGCAGAGGCATGAGTCCTCAGGTCGTGTAGTTGTGGGTTCACCCCCAAGTCAGCTGTTTATAAGCCTAGCTGAGTCTCAGTTTCCCCAGATCTGAAATGATGACCGTGCTTGACATGTCACAAGTGTGCCCAAAAGGGGAAGGAAGGGGGATGGAAGGAGGGAGAGGAAGAGAAGGAAGAGAGGGAGGCAGAGAGAGAGGGAAAAGAAAAGGGGGAAAAAAAGAGAGAAGAAAAGATGCCGCCCCCAAATGGCCCTGTAACAGCTTTCCAGTAACAGCTGCGGAGGAAGCGTGCAGACCATTCATAGGAGCAGTGAGGCGAGCCCGCCCCTTCTGGGCTCCTGGGGGAGGGAGAGGTCTGAGCTGCTTCTCCAGTCCCCAGGAGGACAGGGCTGGGCCGGCTGCTCCCCGGGGTGGCCCTGAGACTGTGAGTTCAAACGGGGGTGGGGGGAGATGCTGACTTAGGGTTCATCTGCCCCGGGTCTTCATTCCAATGTGCTGACAGCCCCAAGTCTCTGGTGAGTCACTGCCTTGACCCACCACGCTCCTTCCTTCCTCCCTGCCCGGAGCTCAAGGCCCTCAGAGGGGTCTGCTCGGGGAGTGCTAGCAAGAAGGGGGCAGGGGGTGGTGGTGGAGCCGGGGAGGTAGGAGGGTGGGCCTGCCCACTGAAGTACCCAGGAGGGATGCTGACGGCACAGGATCAATCCCAGCAGCATTCCAGGGGGACCACCGAGCAAGAACCGGGAGGAGCTGAATCCTGAGCCAGACCGGGTGTTAAGACCCCTCCCCGCCCAGGGCTCCAGGGCTGTAGCGCCCACACGGGCCCACGGTGTGACCCCAGTGGGGGAGGAGGGGAGAAGAGGTTGGTGGGGGACTCACCATCTTCAGCTTGTGCTGCTGTAGAATCTCATCCAGGTTCTGCCTCTTCTTGTAGTTGAAGTAGAAGTTCTTACACTGGGACACCGTCTTGGAGCCCACCATCCGGGCGATGGCCGACCAGTTCCGGCCGTGTTCCAGGAGACCTATGGGATGAGGGAGGCACGTGAGGGGCGTCAGGGGGCTGGAAGGGCAGAGGGGGCCTGTGTCCGCGGCAGGGAGAGCAAACAGAGCCCCGGGCAGAAAACAGCCCTGATCCTGGGCCTTAGGCTCAGTGTACCGGTCCAGGGTTTCTGGAAAGAGACACAGATGGGGGTTGGGCTGGGGAGGAGGGCACAGAAGGAGGGGGCTGGGCTCCCTGGGAGAGGTCTGGGCTCCAGGAAGGGCAGGTAGGAACAGCCAGGGTGCACCCCTGCTGAGGCCACCATCAAGGGTTCTGGGGGCTGAGGGCTGAGGTCAGGGGCACAGACCCCGCCCGGGGCCCCACCTCTCCTCCTCCCCTGCCGGTCGTGACCCGGCATTGACACTCGCTCGCAGCTGCAGACGAGGAGACCTCGGGAGACCGGGCTGTTTTCCGGCCGCACCGGGCCAGGGAAAGGAAGGAACGTGTGAGCAGGGGTGGGAGGGTGGAGTCCGGGTGGGGGTGAATCGGGCCAGGAGCCTCCGCGCCCAGGTTAACCGGGGCAACCCCAAGCTACCCCAGGACACCTAAAGGCCCACCCTGGACTCGGGCCCCACCAGGCTGGTTTGGGATCTGGGGTGGAGTTGCCCCCACAAATCACAGTCACCCTCATCTCCATGAGCTTCTCACACAGCTTCACAGACTCCTGATGTGGGGAGACACCCCTAGGAACTGGCAGGCACCACCCCAGACTCACCTAGGGCAGAGAAAGCTCCCTCCATGCCCACAGACTCGGGCCAGAGCTGCGCCTCCAGCCCCTATTCCATTTTCAACACTGTAAACACCAGGCTCAGCAGAAACGCAGTCCCTCCCCGACCCGCCCCCCCCGCCCAGCAAGCCGGCCCTGAGTCTCAGCCCGTCTGCCCCTCGTGCTCCCAGTACACGGGCTCGCCTCACATCCGCCGGTGTCTCTACGTCTTTATGTCTCACATCTCCTGGTGAGCAGCATGCCTTGTGCGCTCAGGTCAGCCTGAGCAGGTAGGACCTGCCCCCACTCCTGACGGCTGCAGGAGGGGCTGAGGGGAGGCTCCAGCCTCCAGGGGCTGCGGGGCAGGACTGGTCCCCCAGAGGGCAGCAGGAACGAAGCCTGAGTCACGTTGCTGGGAACAGAGCGGCCTCCGAGCCCCAGAGCTAGACTCCTAACGACTATGGAAAGATTTCCCATAACGAAGTTTGAGGTCGTTTTCCTTGAATCAAATCAAGCTGCAAGCCAGGAAGGCTATATTTTGCAGGGGTGGGAGTCTGAGGGGCTGACATTCTGCCTGTCGATATTTTCTGTCTTTCATTCATTCATCTATCCATCCATCTCTCCAACTACCCATTCATCCAAACATGTGCCGGCGGCTTGCTACATACAAGGCTCACACAGAAATAAAACAGCATCAAAAACAACATCGACAAACCACCGTGTCACATGGCCGAGCAACCTGGAGTTTGCAAAGCCCTTCAAAGACTTGGTTCCCTCTTATCCTTGCTGTCGAGGCCACGGCCGTTTTCACATCCCCTGGACGGGAGGGAAACTGATGCTCCGGAGATCAGAGCAACTTACAAGCTCCTGGGGTGGGCCACAGGGTCCCCAAGTAGACGTGGGGACTGGGGCTGTCCTCTCTCCTGCCTGTAGGCCCAGAGGGGTGGGGGTGGGGGTGCTGGACTGACAGGCCACCTGCTCCCCTGCGGAGGCCACCAGGCCACGTGGCTCGACGGCCGCTGCTCAGGGTTCCTCAAGGACAGGCACGGGGCGGGGGGATGGGGGGGTTGGGGGGGAGCTGGGGCGTGGGATCAAGTGTAACCCAGCCCCCTGACCTTTCCCGCCGCCTGCGCCAGCAGCAGCTGCCACTTCCAGAGAACCTGGCGGAGGACGACAGGGACGCGTTTATTTATATTTCCCTAACCGGGGCCAAGGGAGCCCAGGCAAACACGTTGGGCCGGAACCCCGGGAGGGAGAGGGCGGGTCTCCCATCTGGGCCTGCTGGGGGGGGTAAGTATGTGGGGGGTAGGGGGGGGTGGACAAGGACCCAGGGGGAGGCTGAACCCCAGGGAGGTTGACATTTACAAACTGGACACATAAATAAGGAGATGGCGTGGAGTTGGCTGAGAGGCTGAGGTTCTAATTAACTCCACTCGTGGCAGCAGCAGGGGCTTGGGGGGTGGGGGGGGGTCGCCCAGCCCTGCCTGAAAGCTGCCTGGAAAGGACCGCTGGACTGAGCCATCCTGAAGCCCTGCCCAGACTTGCTGTGTGTGGTCCCCGCCATTCCCTCTGCTCTCTGGGCCTCAGTTTCTTTAAGTGCTGTGCAAAGAGCTGGGGTGAGTGTCCTAATATTACGGGCCAGGACACCTGGGGTGGGGGTGGACAGGTATGGGCTGTCTTCTGGTTTTGAGAACCCAGACCAAGGGTGTTGGGCACAGAGAGATGCCCTGTAGACCTCACCATGCCTCGGGGACAACCTGAACCCGATGCAGCAGAAAGACCCCCACCTCTCGACCTGGAGAGAGCACCTCTGAGCACAGCTGTCCAGGACCCCTCCCGGATCGGCCTCAACACAGACCTCCTTCCCAGAGAGCCCCCACCCGACAGCCAGAGAGGCTGGGAAGGGGCCCTATAAGAAAGTGAGGTGGGACCCCACGGAGAGGGGCCGGGCGGTGGAGGGCGGCAGGCGGAGGCTGGCTCCGGGGAGGGCGGGGAAGCAGCTCCGTGCTGCGCGCGCTGGCCCGCCCGCCCGTGGTGGCCCAGGGCTCCTCCGGCAGCGCTGCCACCCCTGAGCCGTCCTCCCCCCAACCCCCCCGCCAGCTGCGGGCCTGCGAGGTGCCCTTCGCCTGATGGGGGAGGGAGGCGGGAAGTTGTCGGCTGTGTGCGAGGTGCCCCGTGCCAGGCGTCACCAGGGAGCACCGCGTCCGCGCCTCATCAGGGCACCGACGTGCCCAGCGTGGGCGCTCAGTCCCCGGACCCCTGACGCGCCCACCGGGCAGAAATCAAAGACCCCACCCCCACCGCCTGTCCGGCAGCCTCGCCGCGGCGCGCAAGGACTCGGCCGATCTTCCTGCTGCCTGACCCAGCGAGACGCGTCAGGGCTGAATGTGACCTCCAGACGGAGGCTCCCGGGAGCGGGCGGGCGGGGGAGCATGGCAGAAGCCCAGGTTCAGAAGGGGGCGGGCCAACTTGGCACTGGCCTCCCCCTCCCTCTCTCCCCATCCGTGGCGGTGGCGGCGTCAGCAGCGGTAAGAACAGATGAGGGTTCAGAAAAACAGAGCTTCTCCACCCCGGCAGGCAGCCGGGGAGCAAACAGCTTCTTCCGCCGTCATTCCCCTGTGCGATGGTTCCACCTGTGGTCTGCCCCCCTTCCCGCCTGACTGCTGTCAGGGCGGCCAGGCCCATCGTGGGGGACTCTAGAAGTCTGGATGGGCTGGAAGCGGGCAGTGGGTGGGCAGGGCTAGGTTCGCCTTCTAGGAGGAAACTTAGAATCTGAGGGGATTCTTCCAAGTGCAAATGAGACCTCCAACCCCTGAGGATGGGAAGGGGGGAGGGTCTGGAGTCCTTAGAGGGCTCTCTGCTCCCCGAGGGTCTTGGGGCCAGGGCTACCTTTTTCCTCCCTCTCTGAGACACCCAGGTCAGCCTGTGCCCCATAAAAAACACCTGCTACAGATTCCCCAGGCAGCTCCCAGGGAGTTGAAAGTTAACTGAGTTGAACTTTGGAGCGAGATCCAGGTCACGACCGATTTCTCCAACTCCCAGGTCATTGGCCTGCTCATCTCTTCTGCCCTCAAGCCTTTCCATCCTGCCCACGAAACCCAAGGAACAACGGCCCACCCCTGTCCCACCGCCTTGCCCCCAGACCTCACCCTGGGTCCTGGGGCACGCCCCCAGGGAGGACAACAGAGACAACCGTGTTGGGGAGCTGGACGTCCCACTCGAGTCCCAAGATCCTTTCTCTGCAAGGGAGGCCCAACGGGGCTTCTAAGGATGCCAATTCAGTCGGGTCACTCCTCTGCTTCAGATTTGCCAGGGATGACCCAATGCTCTTGGAATAACACCCAAAGGCCTTGGCGTGGTGCGTGAGGCCCCGCAGACTCGTCCCACACCCGTCATCCAACCCGATTCCTACCTCTTCCCTTGCTCCAGCCACCCACCAGGACCTTTCCTGCCCAGCCCCTAGGTGTGCCCCAGGACATCTGTACTCACTGTCCCTGCTGCCTGCATGGCTTTTTCAGAGAGCTCCTTCTGCCTTCCTTCACTTCTCAGCTTCAAGAGACAGCTCCTCAGAGAAGCCTGCTGTGACCACTCTTTCCAAAGCCGTCCTCCCGGCCACCCTGCCGTCATGGGGTTTTGGTATCTCCAGAGCACTTATCGCTGCTCCCTGAAATTAGCTCCTTGGCTCCGCTGCTCACTGAGGGCAGTGTCTCTGCACCCACAACTGCTAGGTGTGCAGGAGGCACCCAGCAAATGAAGGAAGCTCCAGATACCCTAGGCGTGTGGGTTTGGGGGCTCACTGGGCATCCCCCAGGCACCTCTGCTACCTCACTGGGGCCCCCAGCTTCAAAGAGAGGAGCGGGCTGTGCGTTTATCCCCACGGGGGGGTCCTGAACCCTCCCCAGAAGAGAAGGGAGGGAGTACCCCCCTCACACCAGGGGCCCGCCCTCACGCACTCTGCGCCGGTGCCCCAGACGGCAGATTCTGCCAACATCCCCTGTGGTTTGGATTCCCCGACCTCACTTCTAATTTCTAAGGAAGGAGTTTCATTCTGAAGCTTGGGGAGGCAGGAACTAGGAAGTGAAATTGACCAAGACAGGAAGTCAAGCCAGGAGGTCTGAGTCATGGAGCACAGAAGGAGGTGAAGGAGCAGGGGGTAGCCGCAGAGGTGATGGTGAGGGGGGCTTCCCTGTCTGGGGGCTTGGCCTGGCCGCTCTGGCTACCCTCAGGAGGGAGCTTCCCATACACTGTCTGGGGACCTGAGACAAACTGTTATCACG